TATAGTTTCCCTACTTATAACCCCACTTACTAACTACCCTAAGCCCTAAACCCTATAGAACCCTTAAAGGAACCCTAAACCCTACGTATAACTACCCATGAACCTCCAAGTAGGGTTGTTTGGGATGGTTCGGCCGTCGGATACGAGGTCTGAGTTGGGCTGAGGTTTAGGGTTTAGGGTTTAGGGTTTAGGGTTTAGGGTTTAGGGTTTAGGGGTTTAGGGTTTTAGGGGTTTAGGGTTTAGGGTTTAGGGTTAGGGCGGTTAGGGTTCAGGGTTTGGGGTTCGGCTTTTCTGGCATGCGCCACCATGTTGTTGGATTAGATGGGTTTCGGGATCATCCAAAGCTCTTCCTTTGGAATAGGGTTTAGGGTTTAGGGGTTTAGGATTTAGGGTTTAGGGGTTTAGGGTTTAGGGGTTTAGGGTTTAGGGTTTGGGGGTTTCGGGTTTAGGGGTTAAGGGCTTAGGGGTTTAGGGTTTAGGGATTCGCGTCTCTACCACTTGCCTCAGCAGACTACCATTTATTACTACTATTATGACTACTATGACCATTATTGCTATTATTACTACTATTATACTTATTACTATTATTACTAGTATTACTAGTACTGCTATTATTGAACAACCTAACCCTGAACCCCCAGCCCGAAACGGCAAAGCTTCAGCCGTTGGCAGTGCGGCAAACGCCGGGCCGACGCACCTCCGCAAAGTTTGTACTGGGAGAGTTCCGAATAGTCGAGTATACTGGGCTTTGAAGTACCATACTTTAATACTTGTTTTCTTAAATGAACCCTTATGAAATAACAGTTTATACTTTTTCTCCCTGGTTACTCAAAAGCCCAGTAAAGTATACCCCAAACCCTTTCCTAAGTACTGAAGGCCCTTATAGCAGTCGGGTCTCAGTATAGTATACTATAGCACAGTGTAGTATAGTAAAGTATACTACAGTATAGAAAAGTATACTGTAGTAGTAGTAGTAGTAGTAGTAGTAGTAGTAGTAGAAGTCGTAGAAGTCGTAGTTGTAGTCGTAGTCTTAGTCGTAGTAGTCGTAGTAGTCGTAGTAGTCGTAGTAGTCGTAGTAGTCGTAGTCGCAGTCGTCGCAGTCGTCGCAGTCGTCGTAGTAGTCGTAGTAGTCGTAATTGTCGTAGTAGTCGTAGTAGTCGTAGTAGTCGTAGTAGTCGTCGTAGTAGTAGTAGTAGTAGTAGTAGTAGTAGTAGTAGTGGTAGTGGTAGTGGTAGTGGTAGTGGTAGTGGTAGTAGTAGTAGTAGTAGTAGTAGTAGTGGTAGTAATAGTAGTAGTAGTAGTAGTAGTAGTAGTAGTAGTAGTAGTAGTAGTAGTAGTAGTAGTAGTAGTAGTAGTAGTAGTAGAAGCATAGTATAGTTTCGTATAGCATACTTTAGCATAGTATACTATACGAAACTGTACGGTAAGTTACTTGAACATAGCTCGTCGGGTCGGGTGCCTCCAGTGAGTCTCGTACTTCAGGCAAGCTGCTTCTCTACGAGCAGGCGGCCAAGTCGACGCTAGCAGAGACGCTTGGCCCTGAGTTTTAGGATCGCTTAAGGGAACCCTTAAGGAACCCTTGAGGGTTACAATAAGGGTTTAGGGTTTGAGGGTTTAGGGTTGAGGGTTCAGGGAGGAGGGTTCAGGGTTTAGGGTTGAGAGGCTGGTCCTTTTCGGAAAAGCATAAGCGGAGGATGGATTTAGAGAGAGGTGCTTACGGCTGCTATAGTTCTCCAGTATATCTAGCAGCTGCAACCTTAAGCAGTTTCTGGTTCGTACTCCGTCTTGTCGCTTTGACTTCTTGCCGTGCCTGAAAGCCCCTGAAGTGAACCCCTTAAAACCCTACCACCTAAACTTTGGAGCTCGAGCGACAGAAAAGGCCCCCCCCCAAAAAAGCACGAATCCCCAGGGCCCTGAACCCCGTAAACCCAAAACCCTGAACCCCAGCACATGAACCCAAAACCTCCCAAAGCCCTGCAAAACACCCTCAAATCCCCAAAGCCCGCTAGAGCCGAGGAAGTATCGAACGACAGAGCCTGCCATGTCGGGAGCTCGAAAAGCGGGGTTTTATCAAAATGATGGGCTTTTTCGGGGTGTGTATTCTGATCTATTCTGTATAGATTACTAAAGTCTCCTTCTGCTTTATCGTTTTATTTTTGTTGAAATAAACGCAAATTATTGGGGGTATAGATTTGGGGGCCAAAAGGGCCCATAATATTGATAAACCCCCTAAGTCGTAAATGCCCAGGGCGTGGATTCTGGGCTTGGCTTTTGCTTGAGAAAGTTGGTGGGAGGGGGCCGGGCTCGAGACTACGGTTGATGATGTAAATCCTGCATTACCTTAAGGACAAATATAGTATATGCCTTACTATGGGCAATGCAGGATTTATATCATCAACCGTAGGATATACGGGTTTTGAGTTGTAGGTTTTTCGGTCGGTCGGTTTCTAGAGTCTAGATGCTTTGTTCCGCGCAGAGGCTGTTTCTAAGAGGCCTGGTATGGCACACCATGCCAACTATGCTCAGTAGATGAGTAGCTAACCTCCTACCATAATTCAAGAGGTTAACCTTTTTTTGGGCTGGGGTAGTCAGTCCCTAGGCAAAACCCTTTAATGAATATACTTGAATTCCTATTAGGGCTCTTATCATGGTTTAAGGTATCTTTCTCAATTAAGTGGTTGGGGTATTCAGCAGCCAGACCCTAAACCGTAAACCCTAAGTATGGGGCTGTCGGATCTTCCGTTTTCGGGGGCATTCCTGGCATCCTTCCTGGGCACTGAGGCTTTGCTGTGGAAGCTGTCCATCTAGGCTACACCTGTAGCCGCAAAGACCTACCTTTTTATGGTTGCTCATTCTGGTTTTGATATATAGTTCAGTAAAATGTAGGTCTTTTGGGCCACAGGTAGGTACCGATTTGCGATATTTGCGCATGTCCTTTCCTGCTTCCTGTTTGGCATGTGTGAGTATTTCCTTTCTTGTTGGATATATGGAGCCCTAATCATGGATTGTTTTGGGGACTGTTGAGATCGACACCTCGTATTTCGTCATGCTGCAACGTCCCCGAGAGTTGTTGGACTGTTACTGGGATCCAATGGGGTTAGAATAGGGCAGAAGTGACAAGGCCAATATTTACGGCGATACAATAGGAGCTTGAACAATTAGGCACCAATACTATGTTGGGGGCTCCTCAATATATTTATAGTATAATTGGCCTTCGAATACAATTTTGATTATTGAGGCCCCCAGATTACACTCTTGGAGCTGCTGAGGTCACAAGCTGTTTCAGTTTCTCGCCGTGGGAAGACACCTCAACCCCATACTGACCCGGAGTAACATCTCATGATTTGCTCAATATTGAATTTCAAATCTCCAAACCTAACACAGTATTTTCCTTGGGCTTGTCAGGAAGCAAGTCCCCCTAAACCTTGAACCCTAAACCTTAAAAGCCTTAAATCTTACCCAAACCCTAAACGCCAAACCCAAATACTTGTACCCCTAAGTCCCTTAAACTCAGATACCCCGTACGTCCCTCAAACCCTAAACCCTAAACTCCCCAAACCCTAAACCCCACCTGAAGTCCCTAAGCTCTAAAAACCCCCGTCGTCGACCTAAACCTTGAACCCTAAGCCCCAAGCCCCTAGAGTACCCCTTAAGTCCCTTTGAAGGAAGTATAGTCCCCCACTTAAAGGATCATGGGACTTAGCAGCTAGGGTTATGATGTGCGTAACTATACTAATAGCTACTTATAACCCCAACTAAGGTACGTATAACCTTACTTACTAAGTCTTCAGGATCCCCATTATAGAACCCCTATAGATCCCTTTAAGGAAGCCCATTCTAGAACCCTATAGTATGCTTATTAAAAGGAACCCGAACCCTTACGTACTAACTCCCATGATCCTCCAAGTAAACCCTAAACCCCGAAGCCCCCAAAGCCTTCGGTCCTTGAAACCCAGAGCCCTCCAGGTACCCCTTTAAGGGTCCTTAGGGCCTTACAGGGAACTCCAGAAAGTTGGAATATGGTTTCTTGGTAGGATACCCGATAGTTTACCATAGAAGGGTTAGGATAATAATATTCCAACTTTCTGGCTTTCCCTGGGCATCAAAATAGCCCAAAAGCCTTATATGATATGGTCTTTGGGCCCAAAAGCCTTGATATATGAGTCCTCTTCAAGGCTCGACATGTTCGCCTCCGACGCCTCGCAGGCACCGACAAACCGAAAAAACCGGATCCTGGTTTGGGGTTTTACTTAACTAGGATGCCCAGTAGTACCCTTATTCCCTTTTTGTAGTCCTAGGTTCCTTATTAAGTTACCCAATACCCAAAAGAGAGGCCTTTTCTATTCTTAGGTTACTGGGTATCCTAGTAAAGGATCATGGGACTTAGTAAGGTTTAGCGTTCCTTTTAATAAGGGTACTATAGGGTTCCTTAATGGGGTTCCTTGAAAGGGATCTATAGGGGTTCTATAATGGGGATCATGGGACTTAGTATGTAAGGTTATAAGTACCTTAATTGGGGTTACAAGTAGTTATAAGTTTAATTACCTCAATCATAACCCTAGTTACTAAGTCCCATGATCTTTTAAGTAGGGTTCCTTTAGGGTTCCTTCAAGGGTTGAGGGTAACCCTAAGGGCTTAGGGTTCAGAAGTTACGGGGTTTAGCGGTTTAGGGGTTTAGCGTTTAGGGTAACCGTAATGTGGGGGCCTTAACAGTGACCTATACTATTTTTTGGGGGGGCCTTATTACAAGTATAGTATAATGGACCCCAACGCCCGATTATGGCTTTTCAGGCCCCGATATTAGCCCTATCAGGGCTGGCACAAGGGTAATGTATTGTGTTCTGTGCGGCTTCTATCAGAACTCTATAACTTTCAGGCTCCGTTAGAAGTGTGTAAGCCATAAGGGTCCCGCCATGCACTATGCACGTTGTCCTTCGCATTGGTATGACGACAAACCCTTTAAGGATCTTCAAGACGTTTTCGCATACTTTTTCTAGCGCATGTATAGTGGACCATTGGTGAAATGGAAGTGGGAGAAGAGGCTCTCGACGGTGCGCCAGGCGCACGAGGTAGCTGAGCCTGCGGCACAGGAGCGGGGGGCGAGGGGGGTGACCTAAGTGTTGCCCCCGCTTCAGCAAGCGAGATAGCGAGAAGTTCCTCCCCAAGTCCACAAGCGGCCGCAGCAAGCCGATGCTAGAAGATGTGCCCCCAGATCGGCTTCACATTGGACACGCCGCCGTCCGCAGCGGAAGGGAGCTGTTTGAAACGATTTTTTTCCAAGCGACCCTATGGGTTGTGAACGAAGGGTTCAGCCAGGTGCTCCCAAAGCCGCAGCATGCCCGTTTGACATATGGGAGTTTCCGAAAATAGGGGACCCTAGTATAGCACCCTAAACAGCAGGATCCTTTTTATAAGGACCCCAAATAAGGTACCCCTAACGTTCGGAAACTCCCATATGTGAGTGCCTCAAGACAAGTTCGGCGGCACAGAAGATGGCGGTCCCTATAGACAGCGTAGCAGGAAACAGTGGGAGCTACTTACGGGCTTTCTTCACAAGACCCTGGGCCTTAAACCCTAACTAAGTCCTGAAATCCCCAAACCCACAAACCCTACTTGGAGCATCGTGGGACTTAGTAAGTAAGGTTACAAGTACCTTAGTTGGGGTTAGAAGTAGTTCTAAGTATAGTTACCCTAATTATAACCCTAGCTACTAAGTCCCATGATCCTTTAAGTAACCCTAGAACCCCTCTTATAGAGCCCTTATGGATCCCGTTTTAGGAGCCCTTTAAGGAGCCCTAGTTCCCATGATCCTTTAAGTAAAGCCCCAAACCCAAGCACGCAACACCCTGGAGCAAGGACCGAAACTCTAAAGGACCGGCCTATAGGGTCTTATAGGGCAGGTAGGACTTAGGGTTCCCTTATTAACGGGATCTATAAGGTACTATAGGGTCTTGTGGGGTTTTGGGGCTTAGGGGTTCCTTTAAAAGGGTCTATTGGTACCATAGGGCGGATTCAAGCAGGGGCCTTAACAAATAGGTGGTTGTCAAAATTCTGGTTTCTTTTTGGGCACCCTATAAATCTTAGGTGCCGTACAAAAATAGGGACCCAAAAAGGGACCCTAATTTTGACAACCGCCCAAATAGAATAGGGGTTTTGGACGTTCGTGACTAAAAGTGGTTTTGTATACCCCCCGCCCCCCCAATTTAATTCCAACCATTACGGCCGCCACATTACCCGAGTAGTATCTTCAAGGTTCTTTGGCTTGTTTTTGTAGTCTTGCTTTTCTGTGTTAATGAGCTGTTAGAGTCTACACAGGGTTCAGGATCGCAGGGGACACCTGTGCCACAACTGTAGGTCTTTAGGTTTGCCAGAGCAGACGGGCTAGCAATTGTGGGTTCTCGGTTAAAAGGTGCCCCCACCCTGTAATAGTGGTATAATAGGAATATAATACGGCCCTAATATCATCCTTATAGTCACTATTGCAGGGTGGGAGCAGCTTCTAAGTTCTCGGTTCTTACTGCATTGTGGCTTTCGGTTTGGAAAGCTTCAAAGCCAAATCTACGGAGTTTTTGTCGTACTAGAACATCCAGACTTCAACCTTGAGACACACCCAAAGCCCCTCAAAGCCACAAGCCAGAACCAAGCTGCACATCTAGCACCCCTGAACCTAAACCTGACACTCCGAAATTCCGTCGTTGCGTCCAGGCAAACGTCAAGAAGTTTGTGAAAACGGGCAAGTGAAAATGCTGAGACCCATCACGTTTGAAGTTCTGGGAAAAAGCAGCTGCGGAGCCGTTGCGTGCCAGGTTCAGGGCTTTGGGCCTCAGGATTTGGCATGCAAGCTATTGGGGGGTCCCTTCAAGGGATCTATAGGGGTACTATAAGGGTTTAGGGTTTAGGGTCTACTTGAAGGATCACGGGACTTAGTAATTGAGGTTGCGGTTCAGAGACTTGGCCAATCAGCGCCGCGTATGTGCCTCATCAGTCAAATCTGACTCGCTACATCCCATGAAGCATAAAACCCTGTTTAAAAGAACCCTAGTTGTGGAGGGTGTGCAACATCTCATTCACGGGCTTGTCTAGGAACCTTACTCTCAACCTGAAGCCCCCAACGCATGTTTCATTTTGATGCCAGACTCCGGTGCACTGTGGCGGGCGAGTCTGCAGAAAGAGGAATCCGCAGTATAACATCCCCAACCCAAACCCTGTTCTAGCAACCCTAAAACCCTAAACCCCTAACACCTAAACCCTATCCCCCAAAACGACACTAAACAAAAACCTAACGCCCACCTTCAGCTTCCTGCCTCTCGCGCATGCACTGCTTCGAACCTGCCAGGTCCCCTCCTCCACCGTGGGTGGGCCGCAGGACGCAGGGTTCATACCGGGCTTTCCCATGAGGGTTCCTTTAAGGGTTGCTATGGGAGGTTCATTTAAGGGTTCCTATCATGAGGGTTCATACCGGGCTTTCCCATGAGGGTGTTTTTTGAAGGTTGCTATGGGGGGTTTCATCGGGGTTCCGGTAAGGGTTCATATTAGTTTTTTGGTGACCTCGACGAGGGCTCAGGGCTCCGGCTTCCCTCATTTGAGTTAGCACCTTACTGCTGATAGGATCCTCTAGGCCGGGTTTTGGTTTCAAGTTGCTTGGAGGGTCGGGGGACTTAGTAACTGGTTATTTTGGGGACTTATATAAGTACCATAACCCCAATTAGGGTCCCTTTTAGGGCACTTATAAGTCTACTTACTACCTACTTACTAAGTCCCCCGACCCTCCAAGTGTCAACCGCATAATCACGCTTACGAAAGCTCAAGATCCGTCTTGCATGGAAAACACGGAGCCAGGACCTATTCGATGCACTTAGAGCTACGGGCTGCAGTGTGTATAATCCCAACCTAACGTGAGACCAACCCACGCATCTCAACCTTATCTCGAAGCCACAAGTCACAAGTCATTGACTAGACCCTTTCCCTAAACCCTGAAACCCAAACTCTAAACCCTAGTTGGAGGATCATGGGACTTAGTAGGTAAGGTTAGAAGTACCTTAATTGGGGTTCTAAGCAGCTCTAAGTATCGTTGCCCTAATTATAACCCTAGTTACTAAGTCCCATGATTTCAATCCCGAAAGCCCTCAAGCCCGCCATCCTACGCAGCACTGAGACCGGAGCCGTTGGAAGTTTGGAATTAGGGGTTTGGGTTTAAGGTTTAGGGTTAGAAGTATCAAAACCCCTACATCATCCTAAAGTTCTTAAGCCTTAACCCTAAACCCTAAATCCCTCCCTCATCCTAAACTCCTTGATCCCCCGACTCGTAAGCTCTTCGTGCCCACGGACCCGAAGGACCTCATAAGTTGGAGTTTAGGGTGTAGGGATCTCGGGTTTTGGGGTTTAGGGTTTTGTGTTTAGGGTATAGGGGTCGTGGACGAAGACGAAGTCCAGGATCAGATGAGAGAGCTGCACAGGTACCTCTGGGACATTGAGGCGGCTCACGTGAGTCAGGGCACGTACTCGCGACAGTGTCTCCGAAAGCTCCGGCAGTACTACAGACGCCTGCACGTAACTCGCCGCGCGTGCAAAATACAAGCGAGACGGCGTCTCACCTGCAAGCAGCCACTGCCGGCAGCCTTCGGAGGTGACGTTGATTAAAACACAGAGTTTGCAGACTATAGCGTGTTAATCGCAGATGCGCAGGGGAGCGAAGAACGATGGTAAAACTCGAAACATGTCTGCGCAGCCGCTGTCGCATGCAAGTCTCCGACCTCTTCGAAGCCTCGGTCCCAACATGTCCTCGAAGGCCTCGCTGGCGACTTCGTGAGTGGAGTCCGTGTCCACCAAGCTTCCCTGGCCAGCCGAAACCAGACCAGCCAGTAATTGGGAGAATCGCACCCTGCACGAAGTGCCCCGGACTCTGCGCGGATGGCAAAAACTGCAACCGTTTGTCCGAAGGGCGCCGGCATCCGAGGTTAGACGACATCATGGAGGAACTACAGGGGGGAGCCGCCGGAGGAGGAGGAGGAGGAGAAGGAGGACCAGGAAGACGACTGGGAGGTAGCTTGCAGCAGTGCGAGCGATCACCTCTGTACATCTCTGTACCATAACCAGGGACGACCGATGAGTCGTCATCCGTGTAGTATGAACGTACGAGCAGGCGGCAGTCAGGTGTCCTAGCCAAGTTGTACCATGACCGTGTCTGTGGCTCCGTTGCGTCCACTCACTCAAGCACTCGGAACGAGCCGAAACCCACGTCCTCATTCAGGCAGTATGGACCTCTTCCACTTCCTGAAGGATGAACGAGAGAGAGAGAGAGAGAGAGAGAGACTGCAAAAAGAGAGAGTGAGACAACATGGAGAAAGAGGCAGAGAGGGAGATCGACCTCGTCCTCGGGGCCGACCGTGCCTTGGCCTTTTCAGCCCAAGTCTACTTATGCAATCGAACCATTGAGGCCCCACATCTCATAGGGACCCTTGCGACCCTTACCCCCCTAAGGGTCCTTATGAACATTGTTGTTCCTGAAGAAGGACGCTGCTGGCCGGCGGAGTGCTCGTCGGCTCGTCCCAAGCCGCTTGCCTAAGAAAGAACTTCGCAGGGAGGGGAAAGGCCCAGTAGTAGTAGACTATAGTCTAGTATATTGAAGTAGATTATAGTATATTGGAGACCCCTGGTCAAAAACGAATAGCAGGAAAAAGGCTACCATTTAACCATTAAGGTGCTACTTGGGAACATACACGGTTTAGCTTTGCAGTCGTAGTAGCTGAGTAGGTGGCCTCTAACCGTTGGGGCTTTATACAATCCTACTGTAATTGTAAAAGCATACTCAGCCTCTCAGGGCAAGAATTCTGCAAGCCCTAAGGCCCCACGCCCGTAAACCTCAGACCCAAAGCCTTGAAACCATAACTTCTGGCAAAACTGTTGGGGACATAGCACTCGCACAAAGACGCCGTTGATTTGAACTTGCCCCTGAAACCCAGGTGCTTCGGTGCCAGCTCGGTGCGACCACCTGCCGTGGTGTTTTCGGGCTTGGGGTATACAATGATGGGGGTGTTGGGATTTGGGGCTTAATTAGGGCCTTTGCGGTTTAGGGATTAAGGTGGGATTTACGGTCTAGGATGCAATACTTGCCCTGAACCCTAAACCCACATAATTCAGGTTTTTTGCCGGGTTTTTCGGTTTATGGCTCAGGATTGGGATGTCGTGCCCCAGACATGATGGAACTCTGTCTCAGAGGGTGTGCCTCACACCATAGTGTCTTATAGCTACAGGTACGGCTCCTGAACACAGCAATGTCCACAAACGTTTTGCTGAATTTAGCTTCGCAGAAGCAATCCTCAAGGGCATTTTCGATTCGTCTTGGTAGCGCGACGGAAAAAATTCTCCGGAGAGCATCTACCTTTGTAAGTTCAAGTTGCAGACGAGCCTTGCCACGAGTGCCTGCTGTCTCCGTTCGGGGTCATTTTACGTAAAGTTAATGCACAAAAAAGAAAGGAGTGGCTCCGCGTGCGCAAGCCACGGAAAGCAGAACATACAGAACGTATGTGCCATCCCTCCCTCCCTGCCTTGAAGTCGAATGAGCAACCCATCGGAGGGGCAGAGGCCAGCGTCTCTCTCTGTTTCTCTTTCCTGTCTCTTTCAGATCCCAAGAAAACGCGCGAGCAGTATTCCAGAGACATTTCCAGCTTGCAGACCTGTCTACGCATGCCCAGACGCGCGGCCTGGGAGGGGACCCACGCTATTGGTCCCCAGCGGCCTGGAAGGTGGCATGCCACAGGCTGCGGCCTGAGCCTTTCCAACCTCCCGTCCCCTCATATGAGGTGAGGTCCGGTCGGTGTGTTAATATCAAGATAATAACTCAAGCGACAGCTCCAGACTCAGCAAAAAGCAAGCGAAGCGGACCATGATAGTGAGAGAGAAGGCAAGACGGAGGGAAGAGTTAACGATATCGCTGTATTGAATGATCCCGTAAACCCTAAACCCTAAACCCACACAAGATCCTTATTTTTACATTATGAAGGCCGTGACATGTCACGCCGAAGCCTTACTTCACATGTTAGTCTTCTGGCGGGATGGCAGGGTTTAGGGTTTGGGAATTGGGATTTAGGGTTTAGGGTTTCGGATTTGGGTTTAAGGTTCAAGGTTTAGGAGGCCTTATCGGCAAGGAGGTGACCTACACAAATTACAGGCTTTCTGAACTCTTTCTCCTTTTCGATTTTGGAGCTTGTAGAGTGTATCTCTAGGGTTTAGGGTTTGGGAAAGGGTTTGGCGCTTTGACAACTAGAACCCTATACCGTAACTCAAATCCTAACCTTGAGATGCTAACCAGAGCGGCCCTCAAGCCTGAAACCCCGAAGCCCTGAATCCCTAACCCTCAACCTAGGCCCTTACAAAAACTTATGATTGAGAAACAACTGGAACGTTTGATTTTGGGAGGGCAGCTGTAGAGTCCAGGGTTCAGGGTTAGAGTTGACACACTTGGGTTTCGTAAGACAAGATGGGTTAATAAAGGGGCCTTAATAGATACCTATACTATTTTGGGGTTCCTTCTTACAACTATAGTATAATGGGCCCCAAGACCCTATTCTAATTATGAAGGCCCCCGCATAATTTGATCATCACTGGTGTTGGGACGCTACTGAGTAGACCCAAGTACAGCAGAGGCCATTTAGTTGGAGCAGAACAGCCTGAGACATGGTTACGGCAGCATACTTGGTTCAGACACCCAATGCCAATCCGACTGTCAACGTAGCTGGCTCGAGGTCATGATCACAAGAGCACAAAATGCTTTTCCCACAGCCCCATGAAAACGCCTCGGCACAACGTGTGTCAAACGGCAAGCCCACATCCTACCAAATAGCAAGCTTGCAACGAAGCTGCCCTGGGCCAGACGCCCATGGCGCAGACAGCAAAGCTATGAAACTGCAACCCCGAAACCCTGTAAATTGAACCCTGCCGGCTTAAACTTTGCTTCTCCGACCCCTCATCCCTGCCCAAGTCAGTTAGGCAACACCAGCCAAAAGATATCAAGACCACAAGTTGTTCAAGTACCCATTCCCTCCCTCGAAGGAGCCTTTAGAACCATCCGCAAAACTCAGCGACAAACGACCCTACAAACCCGCGGTGCGACTCCCTAGAAGCCCGCTTGGTAGAACCCTATAAGCCCTTGTAGGAGTTTCCGCGCTAACATAGTACCCTAAGTATTAGGACCCTTCTTGTAAGGACCCCCAAAGAATAAGGCACCCCTAAATTTGCGGAAACTCCTCTGTAGTAGGAGATGACTTGTCTGCCATGCTCCGATCTGGTCTCAGTCTGGCCCTGTGCGGCCTCGGTGCCTTCGGGACCCCACCGGAGAAGGTAGGGCCTCCCAGGGTTTTATGCGTATGTATATTTATATATTTATATACTTATTTATTTATTTATTTGTTTATTTGTTTATTTATTTATTTATTTATTTATTTCATTCTTTCTTTCTTTCTTTCTTTATTTATTTATATACATATATATATTATGTATATATTATGTATATATTTATATATGTGTATATATATATATATGTATGTGTATATATGTATGTATGTGTATATATATATATGTGTGTGTATGTATGTATATATGTATATATGTTTATATGTATATATGTATATATGTATATATGTATATATGTATATATGTATATATGTATATATGTATATATGTATATATGTATATATGTATATATGTATATATGTATGTAGATGTAGATGTAGATGTAGATGTATATGTAGATGTAGATGTAGATGTAGATGTAGATGTAGATGTAGATGTAGATGTATATGTATATGTATATGTATATGTATATGTATATGTATATGTATATGTGTATATATATATATATATGTATATATGTATATGTACGCATGCACATGTTTATGTGCGTGTGCGTGTGGGTGGGTTTGTATGAGTGTAAAAATGTACATAAACATAAATAGATGTGTATTTTTGCGCATGTACATACTTGGTAATTAGGGCCTTGCAGAATGTAACGGTTATTGTTGGAGCTTTTGTTGTAGCCACGGGCTTATCAGGCCTTAGGGGTTCACAGTCCCTGAGTAGATAACCTTCAACGTTTTGGGGTAATGTAGAAACCTGATTCAAAAACCTTGGGCCTTTATTACGGTTCTTTATACGAAACCTGCTGTTTTGGGGTTATAGGCCCAGGGTTTTCTTAATCAGGTCCCTACACTATATAGAATCCTATCATAATACCCTGTCTTGGGCTGGGGTACTCATCCCCTTAGTTCCTCTTGAAAACCCAGCCTCTCAACTTTTCTAGCAGGAATGCATAATTTTTTTGGGGGGGGGGGCCTTAATAAATATCGATACTATTTTGGGGGCAGATTGGGCCCCAAGACCCTTATTCTAATGATTAAGGCCCCTATATTGCTTGTCTCTCAAGGGTGATGTACCCTCAACCCTAAACCCGCGGTTCACTTTCTCAGGCATGAGAAAGCCAGTCCTGAGACTATTCCAAAGCCTACACCGCCATGAAGTGCTGCCGTGACCCCTGAACCGTGTGATGCCCTGCAAACGTAAGTAACACTCTATCCTAAATCCTACACTATGTTGGGTCTAGTGGGGACTCTTGATCCGAAACTCTTTTGGGTCTGCTGGGGACCCCAACGACCCTTAATCCCGAAAGCCCCTAAACCCTGAACTTGCAAGACCCAACCATCCCTAAGCCCTGAACCCCGAACTCAAACTCTAAACAGTAAACCCCAAACCCGAACCCTAAGCCCCAAACCCTTTTGGGTCTGTTGGATCTTCTGGGGTATATAGCCTTCAAGTTTCCGTATGGCAAGGTCGGACGATTGGCCGAGCGGAAACAACTCGGTAGCACCGCGGCCAGCAAAACCTAGCGATAATCCTAAACCCCAACTTCGCCCAGAGTGGGGTCAGTACAGGCGCCGTTGGACTGAACTGGCCCAATGGTGGCTGAAGCAAGTGGCGCAGTATAGGGACTACTTCAACTGGATGTCCAGTAGTACCCTTATTCCCTTTTTGTAGTCCTAGGTTCCCGATAAAGTCACCCAACACCTAAAAGGGAGCCCTTTTTAATTCCTAGGTTACTGGGCATCCTGGCTGAGCCCTGAACCCTAAACCCTATAAACCGTAAAGCCTAAACCCTATAAGCCCTAAACCCGAAACCCCACAAACCCTAAAGCCTAAACCCTATAAGCCCTAAACCCTAAACCCTGTAAACCATAAAGCCTAAACCCTCTAAGCCCTAAACCCTCAACCCTATAAACCCTAAAGCCTAAACCCTATAAGCCCTAAACCCTAAACCCTAAACCCTGTAAACCCTAAAGCCTAAACCCTCTAAGCCCTAAACCCTCAACCCTATAAACCCTAAAGCCTAAACCCTATAAGCCCTAAACCCTGAACCCTGTAAACCCTAAAGCCTAAACCCTATAAGCCTTAAACCTTCAACCCTATAAACCCTAAAGCCTAAACCTATAAGCCCTAAACCCTGAACCCTGTAAACCCTAAAGCCTAAACCCTATAAGCCCTAAACCTTCAACCCTATGAACCCTAAAGCCTAAACCTATAAGCCCTAAACCCTGAACCCTGTAAACCCTAAAGCCTAAACCCTATAAGCCCTAAACCTTCAACCCTGTAAACCCTAAAGCCTAAACCCTCTAAGCCCTAAACCCTCAACCCTGTAAACCCTAAAGCCTAAACCCTCTAAGCCCTAAACCCTCAACCCTGTAAACCTAGGTTACTGGGCATCCTCTCGTAGGGATTGGATCTTCTCCCAATAGGAGCCAGGGACTCCAGCAGGTATCCAGGCTCTCTCGGTTTTGGGTTTAGGGCTTTAGGGGTTTAGGGTTTTAGGGGTTTAGGTAGGGGTATAGGGGTTTAGGGTTTAGGGGTTTAGGTAGGGGTATAGGGGTTTAGGGTTTAGGGGTTTGGGCCTGGTTTGGGGGAGTTGACCTTGTAGCTCCATGTCTGTTTCATGGAGGGCAGGGGCTCGGGGTTTGGGGTTGCTCGGAAGATATCGTGGTGATACTGCGATCGGGGGTTCGAAGTTGAACATGTGGTGTTTAGAGTATGGGTTTTGTCGTGTTTGAAGATAAGCGTTGCTGTTCTTGCAGCTGTAGCAGATGCTGATGTTCAGTGCTAGAGTAGAGCAACGAAGTTTCAGCTAGTTCTTACAACATGGGCCTCAGGAACGTTAGGGTTTACGGTCTTGAGGTTTAGGGTTCAGGTCAGGGTTTTAGGGTTTAGGGACGCACGCTCCTGAGACTTCCAAGTGCCAAAGCCGCAAGCCTCAAGCAAAGAGCCGGCATGTTGAAGAACTGTTCTAGAACCCTACTATAGATCCCTTACATAGATCCCGTATAGTAGCCCTTACATAGAGCCCTTATAGTAGCACTTATATAGAGGCCTTGTGTAGATCCCTTACAGTAGCCCTTAGAAAGAGCCATTCGTAGCCCTTATGTAGAGCCCTAATAGTGGCCCTTATATAGAGCCCGTATAGTGCTACGGACTACCTAAAGGCGACCGTAAACGTTTGAGAAAATATACCCTAAGCCCAAAAACATGAGACTAGAGTTGAAGAAATAAAGAGTATGAGGAAAAATACATCAACCTAAACTCTCTACTCCGGTATCCTGAACCGGACACCCAGAAGATATATGGCTCCCCCGAAGCATATCCGAGGCTTTGCGCCCGCACCCGCCCCGCAGACGCTGCTGGAGAACGTCACTGTCATGATCTCGGCGAGGGATGGGCACTGAAAAACCAACTCTCTCCATAAGTACTGTAAGTACGGCATACGGTTCTAAGTAATTTCTTAACAACGTTACTTACGACTACGCTTGAATCGTTTTGGTTCAAGGTTCGGGGGCCCGCGAACAGCCCGCACTGATCCTAGCAATAGTTATCTTATATAGTCTTACAGCAATGTCAATATTGCCGTAATACTATGCCCAAACCCTAAACCCTAAACCCCCAAACCCCTAAACCCCTAAACCCTGATCCCTAAACCCTGAACCCTAAACCCTGTAGTAAGCTTGCTGTGACTCAGAGCAGCCGGGCCTTTGAGACAACCAAGCCCGCAAGACGAGCTTTAGCCACCCTGACCTTCAGGGTATGGGAAGTTTGGGAAGTTTCTACGAAGGTTAATTTACCGGTATCTCCAAACCCCACAAAACAGTATGACCCCTTGATTAGAGGGTATGGCCCTTAAAACCGTAGATTTTTGGATCTCCAGGTAGGGCTTAGGAAGTTTAGGGTTTAGGAAGTTTCGGTTTGGGATGTTCAGGGTTGTAGGACTCGGGAATTAAGAGTTTAGGGTTTCCTGGACCGTGGCAAGCACTTCAAAGTCCTTAAAACCTAGTAGTAGAGTAGGTAGCCTTGGGTAGTATAGTACTTTTTTTCATCCCTATATCACCAAAAAAGTTAACCTTTAGTTCCCCATGATACCCGACAAGTAGGAAAGACAACATCAAAACCTCTTGAAAATCCCTGAACCCCAACCAGGGCCAGAGCAAGAGAAGAACAGCAAAGAAAGGCCTGAAACTCATACGGGCTCTAGAAAAAAGGGCTACTATAATGGCTCTTTATAAGGGCTACTGTAAGGGATCTACATAAGGGCTGTATATATCCCTAAACCTTAAACCCTAAACCCAAAGCCGACCCCAAGCCAAAAAACTTAGAGAGCCCTAAATCCTAGAGTCAGAAGCTCTCTAAACCCCAAACCTTAAAGCTTTACCCTAAATCCTGGGCCCAAAACTACCCTAAACCTAAACCCCCAAACCTAAACCTCGAAACCCAAAAACCTAAACCCATAGATCTGAAACCTTGAACCCCTAAATCCCATATCCCAAAGCCCCTAAACCTTTCAACCCACTTGAACCCTTAAACCTTAATCCCGAGACCCCTAAACCCTTAAACCACTTGAACCCTTAAACCCCGCCGCCCCGAAACCCCTACACCCTAAACCCTGTCTACCCTCTCATACACCCCTTTTTTACCCACCAGTACCTGAAGGGCTCTCTTAAAGGGCCTGTGCCCTAAACTACCCTAAACCCCTAGACCCGAAACCCCCGAACCTAAAACCCTAAACCCCCAAACCCCAACCCTAAACCTCTAGGCTCTCTTAAAGGGCACTGGGCCCCTTGGGGGGGGGGGGGGTGCTGGCTCAGGTCCAAGGTTTCCAGACCAAGGCCGGCGAACAATGCTTTAAAGGAACCCGGAGGGAGCTCTGGCGTCTTTTTGGGCTCTGGGGGAGTCGGGGTTCAATCCTAGGTAGTCGGTTGTAAGGGTTTTGGGGTTTGGGGTTTATTGCTTTTGGGGTTTAGGGTGTTTAGGGTAGTATTAGAGAGGCCTCTCAACGGGACCCTTCTTAGCCTTACCTCGGGCTCTCTTAAAAGGGACCTTCTTGAGAGGCTCCATATCCCCAAGGGTAGCCTTAATCCCAAGTTCGAGGTTCAGGGGTTTGCTTTAGGGTCTCGGGGCGCAGGACTTGGGGCATGGGTTTAGGGTGTATGGTTGAAGGTTTAGGGCTTACTTTGGGTTCAGAGTTTATGGTATCGGATATGTGTCTTAGGACATAGCAGGTGGTTTGGTGTCATGGATTTAGCTTTGAAGATCTACAGTTCAGGGTTTACGGATTAGGGTCGAGGCTTTAGCGGTGCAGGGTTTAAGGTTCGATTGGGCATCCGAAATGAAAAAAACTCATGTAGATGAACAATTATTAGTCATAGTGTTCCTTGTGCTTCCGACTAGTTTGGGTCTCTGACTGAAGCAGAAGGATCCTTGGATTGCTGTTTAAAGCTATGGTTAGTACTCGGAGGTTTATGGGTAGTAATAATTGGGGATATAAGTAGGGCAACGATGTTTATAACTCATATTTGGACTTATAACCCTACTTACATCTAGGCATGAACCTCCAAGTAGGCCAATTACGCGCCTTTACGGCAAAGCGGATCAGACTACAAGCCCCACAAATCTTCATTCTTATGCTCCTGCATTTCAAAAGAACCTAAACCGGCAGCCCCTAACCCCGAAACCTTGAACCCAGAAAACCTTAAACCCTAACCGCAGACCCAAGCCCAAAGCCACCATGAACCCAGAGACTCCAAAATCCCGTAAGAATATACCCTTCGATTAGAAAAGGAACCGGAATAGGAATTAAGGTATACCTGTAATCTGTATGCCCAAACCCGACAAAATAATAGGTTTTGAACGCTTAATTAAAAATCTGACCCTGAAAACGGTAGGTTTTTGGATCCCCAGGTATTCATTAATGAAGGGGTTTTGGAGTGCCGGGGAGAGTCAGCTCCGGCGTCCTCGGTCAGGTGCTGGAGGCGGTAAACCAGCCGGGCCTGTCGGCCTATGTGGTCGTGTCCTGAGAGATGTTCTGGGGGCTGAGGGCTTAGAGTGTTTAGGTTGTTGGGTTGTTTGGGATTTGGAGTTTAGGGTGTTGTAGGGGTTTGGGGATTTGGGTTTTTTGGGTGTAGGGTTCAAGTATCATTGAGGATTCCCTTGAGGGTTTCCTGAAGGGTTCCTCTCAGGACTGTTCAGGTGGTTCTTCTAAGGGGCTTCCTGATAGGGTTTCCCTAAACCCTAAACCCTGAACCCTAAACCCCTACAGAAAACTTAATCCCTAAACCCTAACCCTGGTAAGACCCTTAGACATCGATCGGTTTCTTGAAGGGCTCGCTGCAGGGTTCTTGCAAGGGCCAACTTCGCAGGGTTCACATATTTTTGTAAGGGGATGTGTAGGGATGTGGGGGGTTTAGGCGACGGGTGGGGAGGGTGGGATACTCGGTGTAGCTTCTAGGCTTTCCTGCCTTACTGGCTGAAAAGAGAGTCTTTTGTGGGTTTTCTGAGCAGAAGTCCTGAAGCCATCGACTCCTAAAGCCGCCTACTTGGAGGTTCATGGGTAGTTTGAAGTGGTGTTATAAGTTCCCTAAAGATGGCTACGATTACGCATAGTTGCCCCACTAATAACCGCGCTTATAACTACTCATGAACCTCCAAGTAGGCTACATCCTGAATCCGAAAGCTTCGAATGCCTTGGCTAAGCAAACGGGAGAGCTTTAAGCTTCTTGGCCCCATATGGGTGGTTGTCAAAATTATGGCCGCTTTTGGGGTCCCTTTTTTCAATACGGCACCTATTATTTAGGGTACGCCAAAAGGGGCCACAATTTTGACAACTACCCATATCTACATTTTCGGGACGATGGTAGAAAGCTTCATCTTTTTCGGCCCGGTCATTGGAGGACCCTAAGGCTCCATGTACCCATATAGTATATACTGAGGCCTCAAAGGGGTTCCTAGATAGGTACTTTGAGGCCTAAGTGTATACTATATGGGTACATGGAGCCTTAGGGATAGAGAGTTCCCAGAATATGAATCTCATACCCTCCGAACTCCATCGATCCTGGACTGCAAAGACATGCAACTGAACCATGGGAAACCCCTAAACCCTAAACCCCTAAACCCCTTAAACCTTAAACCCTTAAACCTTAATCCCTAAACCTCAAACCCTAAACCCTTAAACCTTAAACCCATTAAACCTTAAACCCTAAACCTTAAGCCCTAAACCCGAAACCCCTAAAGCCTTAACCGAAACCCCGAAACCGGGGAAATGGCTTCTTCCCTGAGCCTTTCCCCCTGGGGCTCCAGTTGCCTCAATAATGGGTTACTATACCGGCTACTGTAAGAGTTTAGGGTTTCTTCAATAATTAATGGGTTACTATAAGGGACTTTCCGAAAATTAGGGGTACGGCATTTTGGGGTTCTTATAATCAGGATCCTACTATTTAGGCTACCGTATTAGGGTCCCCTGTTTTCGGAAACTCCCGTAAGGGTTCGTATAAGGGCGACAGGGTTACATGACCCAAGACCCCGAAGAAGCAAAGAGCCAAGCGCTGGAGGCGGTGGTGTATTTCCACCTGCCTAGCTGCGCACCCTGCCACGAGATGCTCCCAGTGCTGCGACAAGCACGTGCCAGGCACTGGCACGCAGATGTGTTGAATAGAGGCCTAGGTAATTACTTCTAAACGTTCGCATTTTGTTTAGAGTTCGACCAGAGTTCTCTAAGTGTTTCACAAAGGGAGGCACTCGTGCGGGTTTGTCGAAGGTTTTCGCTCACGGGTTGTAAGCTCGGCGTTTGTACGGCTCCTACACTGGTGCCGTTCTTCCCACCGAATCCCCGCAAGCCCTAAACCCTGGAATCCAAGGGCTAAACATCGCCAAATAAACCCTAAATCCTGAAACCCTAGGGGCTGACAAACTTACGAAATGTTACGAGCATTATTCGTGAGGTTTCTTACTATAAGTATAGTAGAAGCTGCCCCACAACCCTGTTCGCGATGAGGGCCCCTATATTGTAGAACCCGTATAGTAGCTTTTCAAGATCGTTTTAAGGACCCCCTCCCAACCCTATTAGACTTGTAGTAATTAAGGCGCCTGTGTTGAGATCCGGAAATCCCGCCATGTTGACGGGTGATCTGGCAGCAGCTTCCCTGCACCCTAGACCCCTAATCAATAAACCCTAATCTTCGAACCCTAAACCCCTGAACCCCTATACCCCTGAACCCCTAAACCCCTAAACCTTAAACCCCGTAAACCCTGAACCCTTCTGTCAGCGTTGGAGGCCTCGGGGGTTGGGAACAGGTCCCCCCCCTTTTCAAGCCATGACAGACAGAAAGATGGCTTCAACATAGCAGCAATATAGAGACTCTTGTCATTATACGGACCCCCAAATAAGGTACCCCCCTAATTTTCGGAAACTCCCCGACTAGGATACCCAGTAACCTAAGAATAAAAAGGCCTCTCTTTTTGGTATTTGGTAACTTTATAAAGAACCTAGGACTACAAAAAGGGAATAAGGGTACTACTGGGCATCCAAGCCGATCACTGTGCTCTTGAGCAGCCAGCACCGTCTGCCTCCGAGCGAACTCGTTTCACGGTCAGACCCAGACCTTCCAAAATCCCTTAATTAAGGAATATACCTGAAACCTAGGGTTCCTTAAAGGGATCTATAAAGGGATCTATAAGGAATATACCTTAAATCATATTAGGGATCCTATTATAATTTAAGGTATATTCCTTAATTAAAGGATTTTGGAAGTCTAGTTAGGGTACTATAGTAGGGTCCCCTACTTTCAGAAGTTCCCATCGAGTGAGAACACCCGGGTGGACTCTTATTCGAGAAGCCTGCAGATTCCTCGGCGTCGCCTGTGAGACTCTGAAGGACCTGGCTCAGCAAGACGGCAAGAGTCGTTTCCAGATGTCAGAGGATGGCCTCCGCGGGGTCCAATCCAGAAGTGCTATACAGGCATGTGCTGAATATGGCTGATTGTATGTGCAGTCATGCGAAGAACCTCCACTTCAGCGACATGCTCGAGGAGGTGGCCCTGCGAGATGCCCCGAAAGACCTCCACCATGGGACATTGGAAGGAGAGTCCGGGACATCCGGGAGAAGGGCTTGTTGCCCGGCAGCCGCGCGCACGTCCACATGTGCACGTACAAGGACTATGCAGCCTCGGCAGGAGGAACGCCGATGTCTGGGTTCGGGTCGACGCGCATGCGGCTATCAGAGCTGGCTGCAAGCTCTTCGTGGCCAGAAACCGCGTCTGCCTGATGCAACGGGTGCCGTCAGGTGTTGCATGAGATGCTTCACGGTTTGGGGTTTAGGGGTCTAACGGTTTAGGCTTTAGTAGTTTAGGGTTTTAGGGTTTAGGGTCAACTCATGTCAAAGCTCTTCCTGACCTCCCCCAGTAGTCCCGAAGCTTGAACAGCTCACAAACCAGGAACAACAATAACCTATAGGGAACCCTAAACCCTTAACCCTAAACCCTAAACCATGAAAGATTTGTCTTAGGTGTGTTTGCATGAACTGAGGGTTTAGGGTTCAGAGCGAGTGTCGCTTTAGGGTTTGTGGTGGATAAACACTATATAAACCTTAAGCCTATAAACTCCAAGCGCTAACCACTCAACCTTAAACCTTAAAACCCAAGCCCTCATATACTATATACTTATACTACGAAGACGATTATACATATATATATATATATACTTATATGTATATATATATATATATATATGCTAGTACCGGTCATCCCTAGCGAATCGCATATGTCAGGGTAGAGGACAGCGCTCGATCGCGCGCCTTGCTTGCATGCGGAGGGTCGCTGCTCAAACAACATTACCGGGTTGGGGTTTAGGGTTTAGGTTTAGGTACCTACTAGAACATACGATAGCTTCATGTAATTCAAGACTCTAGGACTCTAGAAGGCAGCAGGATCGTTTTATCTACGAACCGACCCTGATTGTATGAAACCCTTCATAAACCTACATCATCTAGCCTATGAAGCACTAACTATGGAGGATTAAGGAAAGAGATCCGCGGGAGATGCCCACGTTCCCAAGTAGTTAGTTTTGTGTCAAAGAGGATGTTCAAGACTATATAGAGTCTTCAAGGAGTCTGCAGTTTTGTATGAAGGGTCTAGGGTTTCCTAATGGCTTGAACTTGGTTTCTTTTTTTACGTGGTTCAAGACTTGGGGCTTGATAAGGTTTTTTTGAAGCAGGGTTTCTAGGCTTACACCGATGGTTTGAAGTTTTCTCCTGGGCGGCCGGTCGGACTTCAGTCAGTTCCGCATCTCAGCAGCTACTATTTATAGAGGCCTTGAGAATTACCAATGCTATTTATTGGGTTCCGTCTTGTATTTCTAGTCTTGTGAGCCCCAAAACCCTCTTCTAATTACAAAGGCCCCTATATAAGGTTCCCACCCCCGAAACGTCAAGGAACACTGCGTAAGCCCTCTTTGGCTTTCGTCGTTTTGTGTTCAGTTTGCATGCCCGTATTAGGGTTTCGTGAGGGTTTCGGGTGTCAGTTTTACGTTACATCCCCTAGACCTTTAAACTTTTAACTGCTAAACCCCTAAACCCTCAACCCTCAAGAACTGGAAAGAGCCCTTCAAAAAACTCAAGAACTTCACGACTTGAACTGTTTTTGGGGGACTTCTTCAGGCTTTGACTCCGAAAACTTTCAGTTTATTTCTCCCATGCCCCATGCGGAAAAAGGTCTTTGGGGGTTTCCTGGAACTTCAGTATAGTATACTAAAGCTGCTTAGCCCAAAACCCTAAGCCTTTAGGGAAAAGTGGCTTCCTAGAACTTTAGTATAGTATACTAAAGCTTCTTATACCCAAGACCTTAAGGCTTTTAGAAAAAGCTGGCTTCTGGGGTGGACTTGGATTGGTGCATAAACGGGCCTGCTTAGAGTTCGGGAAAGTGTGCAGAAGCTTCTCAACCTCGACTTCACGGCTGCCCAGACCCCCGGGAGGATCATGGGACTTAGCAGGGTTCCTTTAAGGGGTCCTTGAAGAGATCTTGAGGGTTTAGGGTTTAGGGATCCAAAAAGGGAAAGTAGATCCTCTAATTTGGGGTCCGATACGACGAAGGGTAGTTTCTAGGAACCCCCATTAAGGGATCTATGTTTTGGATCTCCCAAAAGTCTGGCTGTGTTGGAAGCCTTGGCCATTGTCATGCGGCATAGCAATCGAAAGCCGTCCAATGCTAGCAACCGCGAAGAACGTGATGCGTGCTGGTGGATGGTTGCCGAGTGTCCCTGCATTGAGCGATGTTTTTATTTGCCGCACGCCCTTTCAAGCGACCTCATTGCCATGACGGACGATCTTGACGATCTTGGGCAGCGGCCGGATGGGGGGTGTCCGGAGTGGCCTCGTTCTTGTCAGCTCCGAGGCGCAGAACGTCAAAGCCCAAACGCAAAGGTGGAGAAATGCCTGCCATGCTTGGATTCTGCCCCGCCTCAGCAACAGTCGAATAATATCTAGTTTATCATCTAGGTACATTCGGCCCTTAATAGTAGGCAGCCCTATGAAAGACTGTAGTCTTCATTAGGCATCATCTTAAGGGCTTTGTAGAGTTATTATGTTATAAATCGTACTCAGCTGTTACAGAGTACCCAATGTAGACCCCACTTGGAGGATCATGGGACTTAGTAAGTAAGGTTATAAGTACCTTCATGGGGGGTTGTATGTAGTCATAAGTATAGTTACCCTAATTATAACCCTAGTTACTAAGTCCCATGATCCTTTAAGTAGACCCTAAGCCCTAAACCCCATAGATCCCTTTAAGCAACCCCTATAGATCCCTTTTTAAGGGACCCTTAAAGGAGCCTTAGTTACCAAGTCCCATGATCCTTTAAGCAGGTTCGTCAGCGATCCATCAGGTTTTTTGGGAGGAGGAAGTCGGGAGGCGACCTGATCGGCCCTGAAACATGGGAACCACGGCATATTTTACAGACACCCTATTCTAATTATTGGGGCCCTATATCATAGTACCCTATAGATCCCTTACAGTAGCCATGGGAACCACGGCATGTCTGGGCGGTTGTCAAAATTAGGGTCCCTTTTTGGTTACCTATTATAATACGGCACCTATTATTTAGGGTACCCAAAAAGGGACCCTAACTTTGACAACCACCCATATGGGAGTTTCCGAAAATTAGGAGGGTCCTTATAATAAGGATCCTGCTATTTGGGGCACTATGTTAGGGTCCCCTATTTTCGGAAGCTCCCATATATCCTTAATACAGGGGCCTCAATAATTACCAGTATTGTTCCTGGGGTTCCTTATCATATTTTTTCGTTAGAATATGCCCCAAAACCCTATTCCAATTATCAAGGCCCCTGGATTAAGTTCTTTGGGGTACTATAGCTCCTGTATATTCCGGCCTAACCGAAGGTTACAAGTAGTCCTAGTTCCCCTAGGATACTGGACACGTAGGTCAGGGAAAGGACATGCTTGGTCTATCGTGCAATGCAACGTGAAGTGAGCTTGAGAAGGTGGAGAGCAAACTTGGTTGTAAATCCTAAACCCCGCGGTTTAGGGTTCGGGGTGTCGGAGCTAGGCTGGAGGGTCTGCGGTTTTCGTTTTCAGGGATTCCGGAGCTCTCCCAAACTGAAAGCCGTAAACACTGGACACCCAAGCCCTGGAAACCTCAAACCTCAAGCGCTGTTGAGGCGAGGTGATCTTGATTCGGCCGATTCGGATCTTTGTCTTGGACTGTAGCCAGAGTGAGGCGCATCCATCGCCAGTGCTGTTTGAGGTCTCTGGTGTGTAGGTTGCAACAACCTTAGAGAACGTTGAGTTTTCGAGGGAGGGAGCACACTACGGTAAAGTGTTGACATTTAGAGTTCTGAGGTACGGCTTCGGAAAATGGTGTGTTGAAAAATAATGTGTTCGGGTTTGTGCTCGGTGTTTAGAGCAGGGCAGTGCGCATCCAAGGTGTAGGAGGCATTAGTACAGTACGGAGCTGTTGGGTTTCGGTTGTGGTTGCGTCATCATTGGTATGGTTGCGGGTAGAACTACTACGGGAGATTATCTTCGTGTCTCTTCGTTTGAGTGTTACACTCATTGTTGCTGTTTGTTCTGCTAGTGTCACTATGACATCATGTCTCGTGTGGGTACTGATTGCCGCTATCTATCCAGAGAGTGGGTATGATTGGTCATCTGATGTCATTCAGGGACACGCTCTTGCAAACTGTACACCTCACTGTGTGTGTGTGTGTACTTGTCGAAGGTCTGTGTGTGCACCAATACGCGTAATTACGCTCCGTTTCTCTGGGCATGAGCATCGTGTGGGGCATGTTCACTGTCATAGCTTGAGCTGCATCGGTTGCAAGCACTACAAACAGCCTGCATGCCATGCGTAGGCTTGTACGGTCACTGCTGACAGTACCGACACTGACGATGACGACACCTGTTTGTACTGCATATAAATGAAGGCGTCTCACCCGGATCGACGCATATAGTAGCCATCTTTGATATACATATATACACACATATGTATATGCATATATGTTTATATGTAGTTGTATGCAACATGGAAAAATGAACTCTTGCTCTGCTGGCATCGCAACGCGTGAAAGTAGGTTCGAGTTGAAAAGGTAATTCCCATTAGTTGTGGGTAAACACTGTCTATGGCTCGGCACTTGTCCCAGCCCGAAGCGCTAAATCGCCAAGGCCTAACCTTAGCTTCAAGACCCGAAACCCCACCAAAACCCTAAACCCTAAAAAAAACCCTAAACTCCCGAAGCTCCGCGGCCCCTTGATTTTGCAGGCCGCAGAAGTTTGCGAACGCTTCGCGTGACTTTGCCAGAATTCTCGAGTTGATCGGCCTTCTTGGCCCCAGGATTTTGCTTTTTCGTGGGTTTGCTCCCTTGTGTATATCTGGAGAACCGGGATGTGTCTCAGGTGTCTTGTAAACCAAGATTCCGACAACCTCTATTCCGGAAGTTTGGCCTCGTGTTTCCTTGTGAGTACTGCAGGGCGATTTCTGTCTCGTTTTCGTGTACAAGCGGTTGCTGTTTCCTCAGCCCCATTTTTAAGCCCAAAACCCTCAAACCCTGCACCATAAAACCCCAAACTCTAACGCCTAAAAGCCTCAAACCCCTAAATCTTGAAATCCTGAAACCTTGAAGCCCTAAACCTACAAACCCTCTCCCTGAATACCTTTGACCCTAAAGACACTGAAGACCCTACACCCGGACTCCCTGAATCCCAGAAGTCCGAAATCTCAGGCACGTATACCCCAATGCCTAAGGCCCTAACCCTTAAAATCCTCTAGCCCTAAAGCCCTATAAACCTTCAAACCCCCAAAACCGCAAACCCTGGCACGTCCTAAAGCTTGAAAACCCTAGAAGCACTAAACTCTAAACGCTAAAACCCTAAATTTCAGAACCCTCCAAACCCTCAAACTCTCAAGCCTAGGACCTTTAAACCCGAATCCCTAAACCCTGACACCCCAAAGCTCTGAACCCTCAAACCCTGCAGACCCTATGTTAAGCCTTAAAATCCTCAAGCCCAGCAGCCTTAGATCTCAGGCGGAGTACATATCAACTCTCATAATAACCCCTAAGTAAGTGGGAGTTTCTGAAAATTCGGGGTACCTTATTTTGGGTTCCTGATAAAAAGGATCCTATCATTTAAGGTAATTTAAGGTACTATATTAGGGTCCCCTACTTTGCGGAAACTCCCAAGTGCCCCAGATCTCAGGCAGAGTACTTATCCGGCCATCCGCGGCTTCCGGCAAGGGCGCCTTGTGGGCTTCAACAGGAAGCCTGGGATCATAGGGGTTCCTTTCAGGGATCCTTTAAGGGTTTGGGTGGAACCCTGGTAGTAAAAGTGCCGGCTTACGTTACAGGAACTGCGGGGTTCAAACTTAGGGGTTGGGGAGGATCATGGGGCTTAGCAAGTATATAAGGTTATAGGTACCTTAACTGGGGTTATAAGTAGTTATAAGTATAGTTACCCTGATTATTACCGTAGTTCCTAAGTCCCATGATCCTTTAAGGGTTTCCTTAAGGGGGGGTCATTGGGGCACTGCAAGAGTTTAGGGGTTTAGGGTTTAGGGGTTTCGGACGTAGGGTTTGGATTTAGGGTTGAGGGCTTAAGCTGTTTTTGGGTGGGGTTTAGGGCTTCGAGTTGTTGGTGGGTTTGAAACCTCAGCTGCTGCATGGGGGAACAAGCTTTGGTTGTGCCGTTCGCGCGATTCCTAAGCGCGTGGTACGCACTATGTGGTTCTCAAGTTCAGGTGCAAAGGGAATTGGCTAGGGTAGGCACTGCAGCGCGCACTGAACAACGGTTGCGGCCGGGACGCGGCTACCACGCTAGTGGTCTCCTGGTGCTGCATAGTTTTCGGGGCGTCAACTGCTACCCTCCTGGTGGTCTCCGGTTCATCGTCGTTGTTGTGGTCTTGGTCGTCATGATCTTCACTATCGCTGCTTGGGATCCAAACTGGGTTCATTGCCCTAGCTTTTCGTCGGACCCATCGAGCCCTAAGGCTTAAGGCTTCAATGAACTCGGGGCTTCTGTGGAGTTGAGTATACATGTCGCAGCTCATGAGTTTCAGCAACCTGAATCAACAAATCCGCTATGCACAAGTCTCCTGAACCCTAAGCTGCAAGCCTTAATCCGGAGATTCCTTCAGGCCCCATTGCAGGGCAAAGTGCTCCACCGGCTCACGTCCCCTGGAGCCCTTGTGGAATCCCGCAGGCTGAATAGTTTCCCAAGGTTCCGTGCTAACATTCAGTCATAGCGCAATGTGCACCCAAAAACTGTTTTAGCAATGAAGGCCCCGCATCAGACATGTTGTGGCGACCATGGCGAAAACGGTTCAATCCTTTAACATACTTTCCAACTGGTTCACACAGGTCGCTTCAGCCCAGAAACTTTCAAGAATAGCTGCTAAACCCAAACCCCTTCTGAACACCATATACTACCCCGAAAAACTCTTCTCCCAGCCTTGAAAGCCTTCAGATCCGCTAAAACCGCAAAACCCCAAGCCCGAAACATCCCGAACCACCACAGGGCCCCTGAGCCCTAAACCCTAAACCCTATAAACCCTGAACCCTGCAAACCCTAAACCCTATAAACCCTAAACCCTATCATCCCAGCCGCGCTTGCGGTGCAGGCCCAGGGAGCCAGACGTGCTTCTTGGGTCGCATGAGAGTGGATTATCGAGGCCTTAACAATTGCCTATACTATGTCTTAGGGATGATTATAATACAGTTACAACAAGGAGCCCTAAGGAATTGCGCCGGTACTTACGTAGCCTTCTGTTGGGCGTCCTGTAAGGTTCTACTGAATAAAGGTTTAGGGTTCTTTTTGTGGTTCCGTGAGAGTTTGGGGGCTCTACGATGGCTTAGGGAGTCTTGCCAAAGCCCATGCTGCTTCTGTAGCCTCCAGTGGTCCGGTTCTTCCATTGCGCTCCTTGTTGCAAAGGCTGTCTGCATCACCACGTTGTAGAATGAGGGTGAAAGTCTTATCAAGCTCATCATTCCCCATCATACCAACACTTATACTCCTGCCGTCGGGCTCTTGGTTGCAAAGGCTTTCCTCGTCGTGATGTAATGTCTGACCAGTCCGTGTTTTCACAAAGACTTGCAATAAGTCACCACAAGCTCGCAGCACCAAGTGACGTGGACTTTCCGCCATCTGCATGCCACCACGTAAGTGCAGCACCAAGCGAAGTACACGTTCCGTTTGGACACTGTAGTCTGACAAGTTTTGGCCCGATGAGCCACTGTTCTGCTTGGTGACGCACGGCCGGAAAGCCAGCGTCTTCTTGACGCTGGGTAGCTGAACGCCCTCTATGCTTTCGCTGAAATCGTTGCAAAATGTCAAACTCTGCAGGCTGCAGGGTAGTTGGATGCCTTCCAAGCTGTGGTTGAACGCTTTGCCAAACGTCAAACTCTACAGGCTGCTGGGTTCTCGGATGCCCTGGTTACATAGTCTCTTTCCGGACAGCTACGTCTACATCAAGCAGAGCTTTCTCCTCGAGTAGGTGCTCCCAAAGCAACGTGACACGACCCGCACCAAGCTCTTCCCCACGCTGAATCTCTGACGTACCGCCTTCCAACTTGTGGCCATTGCATGCAGCACTGGGGCTCCTAGCATTCCGCTTTTGGGTCATCCGAGCCCTCAAAATAGTATTGGTAATCTTTTGGCCCCTACAATCAATATATGTATATATATATATATATATGCATGTGTATATATATATATATAATTATTTATTTACTACTAGTATATGCTTTATAGTCCATGACCTTTAAAATCCGGCGCAAGGATAGCATGGTGGATGGCCCGGATTGCGCGACCCTCCTTCTTCCTGCTCGACACTCCCGAGCGTCCCGACAGAGACAGCAGGCTTTAAGAGTCAAGGGCCTCGGGTCTCGGCGTGTAGGGTGTAAGGTTTATGGTTTTGGGGTTGAGGGGTTTAGGGTTTAGGGTTTAGGGTTTTTGGGTTTAGGGTTTTTGGGTTTAGGGTTTAGGGTTTTGGGTTGAGGGGTTTAGGGTTTAGGGTGTAAGGTTTATGGTTTTGGGTTGAGGGGTTTAGGGTTTAGGGTTTAGGGTTTTTGGGTTTAGGGTTTTTGGGTTTAGGGTTTAGGGTTTTGGGTTTTGGGTTGAGGGGTTTAGGGTTTAGGGTGTAAGGTTTATGGTTTTGGGTTGACGGGTTCAGGGTTTAGGGTGTAAGGTTTAATGCAGGAGCCTGATTAAGAAACCTTGGGCTTATAATACCCCCAAAATAGTAGGGTTCATATAAGGAACCCTAATAAAGGCCCAAGGTTTCTTAATCAGGTTCCTACATTATGGCTTTGGGTGCAGGTGTGTTGGTTTGGGTGTGATTAGGGTTTCTTAAAAAATTCGTTAGGACTGAGTTCTAGCTGTTCACGGTGTTGTGGTTTTGGATCTAGGGCTTAGGCTTGGGATTCATGTTGTTCGCGTTTGGGGATTGTGTTTCAGTATCTACCTGAACCTACCATAACCGCTTTTCGGGTAGTGCCCTAGCTAAACCCTAATGTAGAACGTTGCATTACCCTCAACCCAGCCAGCGGCAGATGACCTTGCGTGCTACCTTAGGATACGAACTAATGGGAGGTTCATGGGTAGTTATAAGTAGGGTTACAACTCCCCTAATAGGAATTATAAGTATAGTTACCCTACTTAGAAACCCACTTGTGACTACCTAACTAGCCATGAACCTGCAAGTGGGGCCTGTCTTGGGGGTGATGCGGGGCCAGTACGCAGAGTGTCGGTTGAGTCTTTGTGAGTGTTGTTGGTTGATCGTTGCTATGTGTCTACCAATGTTGAAGCCATACACCCTAAACCCGATGCTTCATATGGGTGGTTGTCAAAATTAGGGCCCCTTTTTGGCTCATTATTATTATTATTATTATTATTATTATTATTATTATTATTATTATTATTATTATTATTTTTACGGCACGTAATATTTAGGGTACCCAAAAAAGGGACCATGATTTTGACAACTACCCATATGCTTTTATACTGGGCTTTCACATGTTCAGGGCTTCGGGGCTTGAGGATGCAAGCGCGTGTGGGTCACCGGGCACTCTGGGAAAAACGTACTCAGCCCTGAACCTTAAAGTAAAGCCCAAAATCCACCGAAGAATACAGCCTTAAGCCGTAATCCCCAAACCACACCTTTTGCCCGTGATTACTGCAGCATCGCATGTATGCTCCTTCCGTACATGAATCTAAACCGTAAACCCCCTAAGCCCTAAACCCCGCCTAAACCCTAACCCTGCGACCCTGGACGGCAGGGCGTCTAAACCTGGGAGTTACGGCAATTATGGCAATCATATTTGGTATAGATAATTTGAAGGAATTTGCCTTATTTCCGGTTCGGGCTCCCGTCATGATTTCAGGTATATTCCTTAATCGAGGGGTTTTGGAGTCTTCGGGAACCATGTCCTACTAATCAAGGCCATGTTGTAGGATTCAGGTGTTTACTGGGGTTTGGTTCGGGAGCTATTTAAGTAACCATCGAGGGAATCATAATGTTTCCTTGTTATGGTACCGAAGGTCAAGTTCCTCAGCATGAAGTCGGAATCCTCGAGCTAGACAGCCCTACGGCAAGAGGACCCAACAGCTGAGTGAGTAAAGGCTAAGGCGCCCCGGCGCAGGCACATATGGTAGTTTCCGAAAATCCTACTATAGAACCCCCAAATAGTAGGATCCTTATTGAAAGGACCCCAAAAGAAGCTGCCCAGGATGGGGTTTTAGGGTTTAGGTTTTAGGGTTGCGCGGCTCCAACAGTCGTCAGTAATGGCGAAGGTGTTGCAGAAATCGGTGTCAGGACTTAAGAAGGCGCCCCCCAAAATGGTACAGGTAATTTTTCAGGCCCCTATATTATACTATAACTCGAATAAGGAACCCCGAACCCTAAAAAGGATCTAACTATTCAGGCCACTGTATTAAGCCAGAAGGCCCGAAACTTCCCAGTCCCCATCATACTAGACTTATAATAACGAATAAGGCACCCCCCAAAATAGTATAGGTAATTATTAAGGCCCCTATATATCCTTATAACCGCCCTTATGTACCCCTTTAAAGGAACCCTAAGACAGAGTATAGGTAATTATTAAGGCCCCTAAAGTACATCCTCATGATAGCCCTCTTACAGTAGCCCTTATATACCCCTTTAAACCCTAAGGAATATAATATTACAGTAGAAGCCAGAAAGTTGGAACATCATTGGCCTCATGCCCTTAAGGTAAAGTATAAGGGATCCTAGCACTAATCCTCCTAAAGTCATGTTCCAACTTTCTGGCTTCTACTATAGGGTTTATTGAGCCGACCCTAAACTCCTAGGCACTGGAAGAACACGAAGCTTCAAAGGCGCCTGGACAGTTGAGAGCCTGGTGCAGTCTTACTACTATTGGGGGCTTAGGGTTTAGGGGGTTTAGGGTTTAGGGGGGGTTAGGGTTTAGGGGGTGTAGGGTTTGGGGGGTTTAGGGGGTTTAGGGTTTAGGGTTGAGGGTTGGGTGGGTTTAGGGTTTGGGGGGGCGCGGGGGAGTGCTAGGGTTGCGGGGGTTTGGGGGTTTCGGGTTTCAAGAATACCAAAAAAATTCTCGAGGGTGCCTCGTTAAACTGGTCACTGTAATTAGTCCTTTAGAAATCTAGGCTACTATCATCGTCCTGGTCATGACCAGACTTATGACAGCTGGTTCAGCCTATCTGTGTAGCTGATCTGTTTTTTCTTCCGATGGTTGAGAGGCAAGTAAATCCTGCTGGTGGTCCATAACCAAACTTCTAGCTGAGTTCGCATGATGGCACACCCAAACCGTCCTGCATACCCATATAATAGAATGTAGGGTCTTCTTAGACCCTTCACCCCCGGAAAGCTTAAACCCTCAACCCTAAACCCTAGACCTTCGCCCCCCCCGTCGAACAGTAAACTAAAGCAACTTTAGGCCCTAATCCATACGGGTGGTTGTCAAAATTATGGTCCCTTTTTGGGTCCCCCATATAGAACGGCACCTAATACTTGGCACCCTTAAAAGGGACCATATTTTTGACAACCCATAAATTGTTTGACCTTAACCCCCTCCCTCCTTCCCTCCCCACCATCAAAAGCAAGCAGAAACCCTAGTAGGAGTAGGTAACCTTTAAGCTTTTTTGAGTAGTATAGTCCCTATATAATCATTATCTAACAAAAAGGGGTTAACCTTCAGTTCCCCATGACCTAAAACCAAAACCCTAAACCCACTACCCAAAACCCTAAACCCAAACCCTAAACCCTAAACCGCAGAGACGCCGCAGGGTTCCAAGCTTCCTGCTGCTCCTCGCAGATTCTTCAGATCAGGAGTCGGTGACTTTGTGGGAGGAGCCGGGGGGTGTCATGGGAGGCCAAAGGGGTTTCAGCCTATGGGGGTTCCCAATAGGGTTCATATCAAGGAATCCCTACCCCAAGAATCTTAAACCCCCCTTTTGTCCTCCAATCAAGGTGTTGTTCACGGCTTCAGGGTGCAGGGTTTAGGATAAAGTATTGATAGTTTTGGGGTCCAATTCGGGGTGCAGGGTTGTAGGGTTTAGGATAGAGGATTTTATAGTTTTGGGGTGCAATTTGGCATGTAGGTTTTCGGGCCTATGGAGAAATGGTGTAGGGTTTTTTAGCTTTCCGGAAGCTTGAAACGGGTTCTATGAGATTGCAGCAGTGTGGGAGCAGGTGTCGTTGCTGGTTTAAGGGTTTAGGGTGTTCTGCAGTTTTTGAATCAGAGAGCAACGAACAGATACTCGCTATTCATAAGCCCCATTGAATCTGCTAAAGCCCTAGCGGAGCTTTTCTAAACCTCCAGACCCAACGCCATAAACTCTAAGAGTCCTGAAGTGTTGCCTTGATACTACCGATGCTTGCTGAAGCCGTTTTCCCAATCTGGATGTTAAGCTCAGCGCCATTCCCCCGCTACCTTGTAGCTTCGCTTAAATCTGCGGGTGGGAGGGTCAAGGGATGAAGGCTAGTAGAGGTTCTGGTTTATGCGGGCTTGCCGGCTCGGCTTCTAGGCATGAGGACTTCGGGGATTGAGGGTTTCAGGGTGACTCTATAACTCTATGATGACTCTATGACTCGACGACTCTATGACTCCTCCAGGAGATCGCCATCGATAACCTTGAGCAGTGCAACTTCTACCTGGCCTTGCACTCACAAGGCTGGTATCGTCCGCACTGCTCCAGATGATCCCTAAGCCCTTAATCCCTAGCCCCTAAACCCGTAGGCCCTTGAACCCTTGGCCCTGAAACCCTACAGTAGACCCCATAAAGTTGGAAACCAGGTTAAGGCAAAACAGTGCTGGAATTCCCTATGCATTACTCTCAAGGCTTCAGGCTAGGGGGTTTCCCAACTTTTGGGCTTCTACTGACGCCCTAAGATCTGACCCATTGCAGGTATCTGGAAGTTCCTTCCTGGCCGTATAGAATTTACAGATCCCTTAGAGGAACCCTTATAGATCCCTTTAAAGGTACCCCGAATTTTTCGGATACTCCCAGGTATCTGGAAGTTCCTTCCTGGCCGGCCACCCTCTGTGCACGTGTCTGCCCACCAGGCCGCTGGACGTGGGTAGCTCTCCAAATGGGTGGTTGTCAAAATTAGGGTCCCATTTTGGGTCTAATATCTAGGGTACCCAAAAAGGGACCATGATTCGGACAATCACCCAAATATTATAAGTGCAGGGTATAGTGGGGACCTAAACGGGGACCCTAATGTAGAGAACTACCTACATTCAGGCATCCGAAGCCCAGATTTTGAGGTTTGAAGACCTCGCCACAGTTAATCCTTTCATTCTCGGAGTTGCGCAATCTACGAGTATCAACGTCCGATTCTAATCATGGAGACCCCTCTGCGTTGGTTCTCTCGCCGTTCGATGATTTCATGGGGGTCGGTTGGGTCTTTCTGCGAGCATGAGAGCTACTCTTTGCCCCACTGTGCTGTTACTGTGGCTCACGAAGGTAGGCTGGGGTTTTGGCTTACGTGCATTGCGCTGTCGCCGAATATAGAGGAATCCAACTACCGGTTCTGGGATAATGATTGGAAGTTGCTATCAAAAATGCGATGAGCACAGCTAACTGTTATGTGGATGGTTGTCAAAACTGTGGTCCCTTTTTCTGGGTACCCTAACTATTAGGTGCCGTACTATACTAGGGCCCCAAAAGGGACCATGATTTTGACAACCACCCATGTGGGTTGCTCTCGGTGAAAAACCTTAGAAGGAGAAAGATGATGTTCGCGCTATCACGCGCTATCCATCTCTGCACTGCAAAGTCTCGATAGCTGCGTTTGCATGCAGCACCACCCACAGAAAGGCCTCTAAAGTCCAAACTGTGCCTTGATCCTAGGAAACCCACCTGTTATAGTTCATTTTTCCTTATTTAGGAATACATCCGTACAACAAAGTAGGTTGTTTGATGTCAAAGTAAACCCCAACTTCAACCTCAACCATACCCTACCAACTTGCCAGAGCGCCCAGGATATGGGCTTGGACGCGGCACCCTTCCAGTGGGCACCCGACAAGGCCAAGGGACTCGGGCTACTGAAGCTCTCGGGATAGTTCCTTTTATATAGTTCAGATACTTCGACAGCGAATAGGGGAACTTTAAACATTTGGCCTTGCAATTTTGGTCTATCTTGAAAAGATTGAATTTTTTGCGCAGGGTTAGTCAAGAAGACAGGACAAGGATCTGATAAAGTAGCTGATAGGACGTTTATGGCGTTCTTGCGGAGCTTTCCTTTTGCTTCAAGCATAGTTCGGTGGCGTTTCATACTTCCTTCGATGTTACACGGCTTTTATTCATGGCTGCTTTGCAGTCGGGTGAGTCAGCTTCAAACGTCTTGGAGTAGCAGAAATCCCTACACAGTCGGGGTAGGATTAGGGTTGTATAAAGCTTCCGCTCTGAACTCCACGCCCCTAAACCCTGCTTGGAGGCTCATGAGTAGTTATAAGTAGGGTAAAAGTCTCCTAATATGAGTTATAAGTTATAAGTATACGTACCCTACTTACAACCCCACTTACAACCACTTGTGGGGCTTCGGGCCTGAATAGTTACCTATACTCTTTTGGAGGTTCCTTGTTATACTCATAGCATAATGGCTCCAAAACCTATTCTAATTATCACCAGAAGCGTATAAAGAAGCGTATGCAAGGTCGACAGTTCGGGCTTCCATGCGTAGACGGGTCCGATCAGATCACCCGAAAAGTCCATAAGAAATCCTTTGACTTGGGGCTTCTCGAAGCACTGCAAGGTTTAAGGCTTCCATGTTCAGGCTTTGCTTTTCAATCAGTTCCGACCTTACGTTTATCCCTGGAACTGAGCCATCCACCCTCCCTAAACCCCAAACCCTAAGCCCTAAACCCCTGCAGTACCCCTAGAGCCCCTCCCTAAACCCTGGAGAGGAAGTGATGCAGACCTGGCTTGAGATTAGCCGCTTTGAAGCACTGGAGGTCAGGGTTCTTGCGAGGGATTAGAGCTCCACTCGTTTTTTAGAAGGGTTCCTTTAAGGGTCCTTTTAAAGGGATCTATAGGATTCTATATGGCTTTTGGGGCTTAGGGCCTATTTGGAGGTTCATGGGTAGTTATATAACCCACTTCTAACTACCCATGAACCTCCAAGTAGAGCTCCACTAGTTTTTAGAAAGCAGTAAGAGACCTTAACTTCCGGTGCCTTTGCGGTGCACCTGAAACCTCCTACTGCCGTGGGGTTGATCGCAAGATCCTCCAAGAAGCTGGACAGGTAGGGAGACGCGTATAGGTGCTTGTGGGGCTTGGGGAAGTGCGAACGCCATACACCCCCAAAATATTCCAGGATTAGTCGGGAGTGGTCTGGGAGTTCCACTGCAGTATCCTTTAGAGGAGCCCTTTAAGGGAACCCTTAAAGGACTCCTCTAAGCCAGCAAGGCAAGTCCTACAGGCCTCACAGGCGCAAAGCAAGAACTGCAACCCTTGCAGCCCGAACGCACTCTTACTCAAATACCCGCCTGCAACCCTGAAAGCAAACAACTCTGCAGTGCCGAAAGATAAATGCCCCGATAACGTTCGAAACAACAGAACCCCCACCACACGCCCCAAAGCCCTAAACCCTACAAACCCACCCAAAGCCCTAAACCCTAGTAGAGCCCCCCTAAGGCCTCCGGCCGCCTGTGTCAAGCCTGGGCTCGTGGAACAGCAGAGAGCTTCTCCGATCAGGCCGGGGATGTATTCATTTCAAGCTTCCTTTAGTTTGTGCGTTGGGATAATTGTTACTTTCCCTTAGTTCCTTATAGAAGGAACCTATTCATAAATAATTTTTCAATCGGCTTAAAGCACAACCCAGCCTTTAGTTTGGGTAGTTGTCAAAATTATGGTCCGTTTTTGAGTACCTTACATATTGGGTGCCGTATTATATTAGCTAGGATGCCCAGTAGTACCCTTATTCCCTTTTTGTAGTCCTAGGTTCCTTATAAAGTTACCCAATACCAAAAAGAGAGGCCTTTTTATTCTTAGGTTACTGGGTATCCTAGTTGGGGATCCAAAAAAGGGACCCTAATTTTGACGACCACCCATTTGGGGTCTCCGCTAGGTTCCTCTACCTTTCTAGGATGCCCAGTACTACCTTTATTCCCTTCTTGTAGTCCTAGGTTCCTTAGACAGTTACCCAATACCAAACAGGGAGCCCTTTTTATTCCTAGGTTCCTGGGCATCCTAGCCGTAGTTTAAGGGCTCCCTTTCGGCTTTCGATCAAAAAGAGGAATACGGTTGATGATATAAATCCTGCATCACCCACAATAAGGAATATACCATAATTCCCATAGTATAGGGTCCTTAAGGTAATGCAGGATTTATATCATCAACAGTATGGGCTCCTTGGTTACGGTTTGAGGTCTAGGGTTTGTTGCTTGAGGTTCAGGGTTTTCAGGGTTCCTTCGAGGGTTTCTGTCCGTTTCTTTAACTTGTAGGGGTTCAGGGTTCCTTTAGGGGGTCCGTCAAGTTTTAACAGGCGTTTTCCGGGCCAGGCGTAGGGTTGAGGGCTGCTGGTTTGGGGTTTCGAGTTTAGGGCCTGAGTTAGGCTAGCTATGGAATCCTAAGTACAGTGCTTAGGTTCTTTTACGAGGGGGCTTGTTATATTCTGAATGTCGTCAAGAGCCGGGTTTAGTGTTGAGGATGTGCCTGTTCGAGGACATGACTTGGCAGAACCTCAAACCCTCGGTGTACGCCCTAGCCCAAGGCAAGGTATCAAGCACCAAGGTATCTGGGGCGGGGGGGGGGGGGGCGAAGATTCAGTAACATGATACTTGAGGAATTTTGGACACCCCTCCAGTCTTATTGTAATCGTTGATGCCCGTAGGATACATAATACATATTACTTGCCGAATTGGAGTTGCCGGTGCCTCCCGGTGAAACTGAACAGCAGGGCTTGGGGTTTAGGGTTTAATAGGGTTTAGGGATGTGGGAGCTTCCGAAGATCAGGGTACCTTATTTGGGGACCCTTGTACTAAGGATCCTTCTATTCAGGATACTATATCAGGGTTCGAAACTCCCATGTGGGCTTAGTGGGTTAGAAACTTTACCGGCTTCGGCCCTGAACTCATCAAAGCTAGTCATTCCGAAGCCCGAAAAGCGTCTTCCAGCCCAAAGAAAGCCACAACCCTCAGCCCTGAACTTAGGGGTGCTTTGAAATGATTTGTATAATTTATGGCCATTATAATCCCTAAGAAACAGCTAAAATTATGTTTTTTTGCTAATAATCCCCCAAGAAACAGCTAAAATTATACTTTTTGCTAGGGTTCTAAGCTCAGTATAGTGAACCCAAAGCCCCTAAGCCCGAGGGCCGCCAAATCCCTAAGCCCCGAACCCCAAAAGCGCAAGCAGGCCCAACAACCGTAACCCATGGCCTCCACCCCTGAAGCCTTAATATGGGAGTTTCCGGAAATTAGGGGTACCGTGTTTTGGGGTCCTTATAATAAGGATCCGACTATTTAGGGTACTAGATTAGGGTCCTGTATTTTCGGAAACCGCCATATGGGGACCTGATTAAGAGACCTTGGGCCTTTATGAGGGCTCCTTATATGAATCCTACTATTTTGGGGGTTATGGGTTCAGGGTTTCTTAATCACGTTCCTACATTCTTGTATCCCTTTTAGTCAGCCTTTGAGTAACCTTTCTAAAAAACTTACAGAACCCTTGCGGCAACCGTTGTAGCAACCATCAGCCCCCTAAACCCTGGCAGTAACCATGACCACACTAATGTTGGTGGAACCCTTCTAGAAACCCTTACAGTAGAAGCTTAAAAGTTGGAAACCCCATAGCCTCAATCCTTAAGAGTAATGTATAGGGAATCCCAGCACTATTTGTCCTTAATCCTGTTTCCAACTTTTTGGGCTTTACTATACGGTGACCCTTATAGTAACCATGACGCCCGAAGCTCATCTGGGCGAGGTCTGCCCGTGGTTGTACTACGGCACGGCCAGGCACTGCACCGAAGTCGGGCCTTAGGACTTCGAATGGGCTTTAGGGGGTTTAGGGTTTTGGGGTTTAAAATTTTTGGGGGTTGAGGTTTTGGGGTTTTGGGCTTTAGGGGGCTTGGGGGTTCAGGGTTTTGTGGTTTGAGATTTTTGGGATTTGAGGTTTTGGGGTTTAGGGTCTCGGGCCTTACTGGTTCGGTTAACGAGCTTGTCAATGGCTTCTAGAAGGGTTTGCTATAAGGGTTCTAGGAAAGGGTGCGTTAACAATTTCAACAGGCTTATTGTAGGAGTACATCGGGGCAACAAGCGGGTGTCGCTGATTGCCGATTTCTCCTACCGGGCAGCCAGTTTCACGCTGGTTTCTCAAACTTAGCAGTACCTCAATTAGGGGGCCTGGCCCCCGCAGCAACCCCCCAAACACCTGGACAAACGAAGCACCGACCATAAACCCTGAATTGCTCTGCCCCTAAACCCTACGACCCTAAGCGTGGAAGCTGGAGGATGAGGCGAGTGTCACAGCAGTGGCCACGTTCCGCGAGCGCGTGAACCAGGTTGGAGATTCACAAGCTAAGAGCAGCCTCAAGCCTGCTAACAGGATACTTGGGTAAGCAAGGTTATAATAAGTACTGTATAATGAACGGTGGATATAATCATAGAGGCATTTAGCAAGTAGACAAGGAATTCGGAGTAACATGTTCGGGCTTCAATGCTTATGATAGGGCAGCTTAGGTGTAGATTTTAGTATGCTTGTATCCGGATCATGAGGGAATGCAGTTGCTAATTCTTCAGGCCCCATTGCTGGACCTCAGTTATCCGGACACACATACTTACTTGCTTACTTAGCCACTAGGGGTTTCACTATCTTAGTAGGGGCTGAGTAGGTAGCCCGTCACCGTGTGCGGATCATATAGTCCGACGATAATTGCAGTTTACCCTCGTGGGGGCCTAGAGTACTCAGCCAGTGGGATTCGAAAAGCGTAGGAGCTACCCTAAACCCTAAACCCTGCTTTAAGAAAGCCTCTGTTGCTGCTAGTGCTCACGCCAGAGATGTCTGAATCACAGTCTGGTTCTTAGTAGGAAATTCAGAGTGGATCCCTATGATAGTCCCTTTGGGTCCCCTACTTGGAGGTTCATGGGTAGTTGTAATATGGTTGTAGGTCCCCTAATATGAGGTACAAGTATAGTTACCCTACTTATAGCCCCCCCACTTATAACTACCCATGAACCTCCAAGTATAGTAATCCCAACCACCCATTCCCCCATTCCCTGCTAAGAGCCAGCCAGATCAGGGTCCTAGATTGCACCCCAGCCCACAACCTTGATTTCTGCCGCCCCCGGGCCATACGTCACACACATGGACAGCTCCAAACCCAGAAGAAGAAGACCAAGATGTTCCCTTCGCGAGTTTAGGCTTGAACTCGAAACATTGCCTCAATAATTAGAATAGGGTTCCTTTTAAGGGGCTACTATAAGGGATCAATAAGGGCACTATACTACGGGGTAGAGCAGTTTGGGGTGCTTTGGCCGGCCACGGCAGGGAGTGGGAGAAACAAGGAACGAGGCCCTCTTCAACGAGATCCTGACATGAAGTACTATAGAAGGCCGTACACTTATCCACAACATTCCTTAGGGTTTCTTAGTTATATCTGTAATTTAGCATTCCCCAGAGCCCTGTTCAATACGATGAGGGCCCCCGTAAAGTCGCATCATGCGACAGGCCCGCACGTGCTTCTGCACGAGATTTGCACCCCAAATCGATCTGTGAGTTTGGGTCCTGGGAGGAGCTCCGTGCTACTGGGCAGTACATCTTCGCCACCTTGGACTCTCGTTGCGATATTAGGGTGGGCCCTAAACCCTAAACTCTGAAAGCCCAAACCCCAAGTCTAAGGGCTATGGGTTAATATTAAGGGTCAAGAGTTTAGGGATCGAGGTTTCATGGTATTGTCATGGTATTGGAGAGGCTTCCAAGGTGGTTCACCTGAATTTGGGTTTGTGGTTCTGAAATCGTTTTGCAGGATTTTGATCTTGGGATTGGAGGTTCAAACAAGAACTCTTTCTTCAACAGCTGTTTTCGGATCCCTACTGTAATATTTCTTTTAGGGGAAGGTGTGCTGATCTTCAAGGGTTCTCGGTTGCGGGGCCGTGGGCCTCGGGGTGAAGGTCTCTAAGGATTTAATAGAGGGGCCTTAACCATTAGAGTAGGGTTTGGGGGGCCCATTATACTATAATATGCTAAGGAACCCCCAACATAGTATAGGTAACTACTCAGGCCCCTACAGTGGGGACGTGCTTTTGGATCAGAGTGCCCTCTGCTTGAGTTGGGCAAAGGCGAGATCTGCGGCTATGAGCTCCAAAGGCCTGACCAACAGGCTCCTCATCCGAGGAATTTCACTTTCGTAATAGCAATGAGAACAGGAAACCACACAAGAACGAAACGAGATCAACATGAATGAACCCTAAACACCAATCCTAACCACCCCGTCCCGAGGACGTTGACACGGCAGACGCGCGTGTGCTTGCAAGGCCCAATGGGCGGTAGGCGGGTTGGGAGCCCTTACCAAACTACTATTTGCTTAAGAAACCCCCAAAAAATAAAAATAATAATCCCTATATTACCCCCATAAGGAATATATTTGTTATTTTCTGGGGGTTCTTAAGCAAATAGTAGCAAAGGGCCTCGTGGTCCTCAACCCTGCACCCACGAAAGGAGTTCAAAAGTAGATCCGTGTTTTGCGAAGCGTACTTTAGGAAGACGGTGTTGAGAGATCTACTTGTTGGATCCTTTCAGGGGTCTAGGAACATGCAAGAAGTACAAGTAGCAGTTCTCTTAAGAGCTTGCTGCGTGAAAAGAGAGCTCCCCTAGAAAAGGGTCCATTCCATTTCCGCCCAGCAACATCTTATACAACTAAGAACACAGATGGCAGCACCCTTATATATGTATACATCGATGCCCTCATCGTAAGGGGATACCATACAGGTCCTGGTTCCCGCTGGTGGGCAAGAACTTCGCGGCTGGGCTGCAACTCTGAGGGCATTCTGCCCTGGTTCTTAGTAGGGAAAGGGGGAATGGATCCCTATAGTAGCCCCTATATAATCCCCAATCGTTTTCCCCATAATCCATTCCCCCATTCCCTACGAAGCACCAGGGAGCCTTTGAAATTTAGGCTTGCGCAGCAACGGCTGACCAGAAGTACAGCGGGAGTCCCGATCCTTCACTAAATCCGCCGCTGCACCCTCCCAGCGCGTACTCAAATCCCTTAGACAAACCTTGAGATCTGAGATCTGAAAGCCGTATACCTTTAAACCCGAGAGTTCCTTCCAGGGGTGCTTGAAAGTTTTTCTATGAGGGGTGCTAGAAGGACCTCGATATGCATTCTACGATACAGGGGCCTTAAGAAATTGATGGGTTCTTCTTTTAGACTCTTTTAAGATGTGCATGCTATAGCTGCTACAGTAGTTGCAATAAAGGTTCTATGATTTTGAGGCTTTGATGGTTAGGATTGTAGTTGGGGGAGTATTGGTTGTATAAGGAGCCCTGAAAAGTTTCACAACTTATTCCGAGCTCTACCTTAGAAGCCTTAATGATTATACAGACTGTTTATTTGGGCTTCCTTTAACAAGTACAAGTATACCGTCAAACAAACGCTCCCAAAACCTCTCTCTGCTTCTTTAGTCCCCGATATTACAAGCCAAGACCATCAAGGAAAGCAACAAGCAAGAAAACTCCTAGGAGGATTTCCCCAAGCCCTGAACCCTAAACTCCCAAACCCTAAGCCCCGCAACCCTAAAACCTGAACCCCTGAAACCCCAAACCCTAAAACCCCTAAACCCCAAGCCCTGAACCCTAAATCCTAAACCCCTAAACCCTAACCCTTAAACCCCTAAACCCTACGCCCTGAACCCCTAATCTTGAAGCCTCGAACCCCAAATATTCATCTCCGAGGAGGATTTCCTGCCCTTCCCGGTGACGCTGCCACCCGAGATTTTCGTTTTCACGAAGTCGAGAACGACGGTTTCTGGGCACTGAGTTGTGGATGTTTCCGAAAATAGGGGGTACCTCATTTCGGGGTTCGGTATGGGGTCCTAATCATTGCCTATACTAGTCTGGCGGTTCCTGAATAATTCAGGCCCCTTCATTACCCAAAGTCTCCATTGTTGCTCCTGCTAGAGGTTGACCAGTTTTATATACTAGCATCCTTACCATCAAACTAGAGGTTGACCAGTTTTATATACTAGGATCCTTACCATCAAACTAGAGGTTGACCAGTTTTATATACTAGGATCCTTACCAGCAAACTAGAGGTTCACCAGTTTTATATACTAGGATCCTTGCCATGAAACTAGAGGTTGACCACTTTTATATACTAGGATCCTTGCCATCAAACTAGAGGTTGACCAGTTTTATATACTAGGATCCTTGCCATCAAACTAGAGGTTGACCAGTTTTATATACTAGGATCCTTGCCATCAAACTAGAGGTTGACCAGTTTTATATACTGGGATCCTTGCCATCAAACTAGAGGTTGACCAGTTTTATATACTAGGATCCTTGCCATCAAACTAGAGGTTGACCAGTTTTATATACTAGGATCCTTGCCATCAAACTAGAGGTTGACCAGTTTTATATACTAGGATCCTTGCCATCAAACTAGAGGTTGACCAGTTTTATATACTAGGATCCTTGCCATCAAACTAGAGGTTGACCAGTTTTATATACTAGGATCCTTGCCATCAAACTAGAGGTTGACCAGTTTTATATACTAGGATCCTTGCCATCAAACTAGAGGTTGACCAGTTTTATATACTAGGATCCTTGCCATCAAACTAGAGGTTGACCAGTTTTATATACTAGGATCCTTGCCATCAAACTAGAGGTTGACCAGTTTTATATACTAGGATCCTTGCCATCAAACTAGAGGTTGACCAGTTTTATATACTAGGATCCTTGCCATCAAACTAGAGGTTGACCAGTTTTATATACTAGGATCCTTGCCATCAAACTAGAGGTTGACCAGTTTTATATACTAGGATCCTTGCCATCAAACTAGAGGTTGACCAGTTTTATATACTAGGATCCTTGCCATCAAACTGGAGGTTGACCAGCTTTATATACTAGGATCCTTGCCATCAAACTAGAGGTTGACCAGTTTTATATACTAGGATCCTTGCCATCAAACTAGAGGTTGACCAGTTTTATATACTAGGATCCTTGCCATCAAACTAGAGGTTGACCAGTTTTATATACTAGGATCCTTGCCATCAAACTAGAGGTTGACCAGTTTTATATACTAGGATCCTTGCCATCAAACTAGAGGTTGACCAGTTTTATATACTAGGATCCTTGCCATCAAACTAGAGGTTGACCAGTTTTATATACTAGGATCCTTGCCATCAAACTAGAGGTTGACCAGTTTTATATACTAGGATCCTTGCCATCAAACTAGAGGTTGACCAGTTTTATATACTGGGATCCTTGCCATCAAACTAGAGGTTGACCAGTTTTATATACTAGGATCCTTGCCATCAAACTAGTTTTATATACTAGGTTAGAGGACCAGTTTTATATACTAGGATCCTTGCCATCAAACTAGAGGTTGACCAGTTTTATATACTAGGATCCTTGCCATCAAACTAGAGGTTGACCAGTTTTATATACTAGGATCCTTGCCATCAAACTAGAGGTTGACCAGTTTTATATACTAGGATCCTTGCCATCAAACTAGAGGTTGACCAGTTTTATATACTAGGATCCTTGCCATCAAACTAGAGGTTGACCAGTTTTATATACTAGGATCCTTGCCATCAAACTAGAGGTTGACCAGTTTTATATACTAGGATCCTTGCCATCAAACTAGAGGTTGACCAGTTTTATATACTAGGATCCTTGCCATCAAACTAGAGGTTGACCAGCTTTATATACTAGGATCCTTGCCATCAAACTAGAGGTTGACCAGTTTTATATACTAGGATCCTTGCCATCAAACTAGAGGTTGACCAGTTTTATATACTAGGATCCTTGCCATCAAACTAGAGGTTGACCAGTTTTATATACTAGGACATACTAGGGATCCTTGCCATCAAACTAGAGGTTGACCAGTTTTATATACTAGGATCCTTGCCATCAAACTAGAGGTTGACCAGTTTTATATACTAGGATCCTTACCAGCAAACTAGAGGTTCACCAGTTTTATATACTAGGATCCTTGCCATCAAACTAGAGGTTGACCAGTTTTATATACTAGGATCCTTGCCATCAAACTAGAGGTTGACCAGTTTTATATACTAGGATCCTTGCCATCAAACTAGAGGTTGATGGGGGTAGCGTTTAGACATCGGGTTGAGGGCTATGGGTTTTTAGGGTTTTTAGGGTTTTTATGGTTTTTAAGGTTTTTATGGTTTTTAGGGTTTTTAGGGTTTTTAGGGTTTTTGGGGTTTAGGGTTTTTAGTGTTTTTAGGGTTTTTGGAGTTTTTAGGGTTTAGGCTTTTTAGTGTTTTTGGTGTTTTTAGGGTTTTTATGGTTTTTATGGTTTTTAGGGTTTTTAGGGTGTTTAGGGTTTATGGTTTTTAGGGTTTTTAGAGTTTTTAGGGTTTAGGGTTTTTATGGTTTTTTGGGTTTTTAGGGTTTTTAGGGTTGTTAGGGTTTTTAGGGTACTTAAGGTTTTTAGGGTTTTTCTGGTTTTTAGGGTTTAGGGTTTTTAGGGTTTTTAGAGTTTTTAGGGTTTAGGGTTTTTAGGGTTTTTAGAGTTTTTAGGGTTTAGGGTTTTTAGGGTTTTTAGAGTTTTTAGGGTTGTTACGGTTTTTGGGTTTTTATGGTTTTTAGGGTTTAGGGTTTTTAGGGTTTTTAGGGTTTTTAGGATTTTTAGGGTTTAGGGTTTTTAGGGTTTTTAGGGTTTAGGGTTTTTAGGGTTTAGGGTTTTTAGGGTTTTTAGGGTTTAGGGTTTTTAGGGTTTAGGGTTTTTAGGGTTTCTAGGGTTTAGGGTTTTTAGGGTTTTTAGGGTTTAGGGTTTTTAGGGTTTAGGGTTTTTAGGGTTTAGGGTGTTTAGGGTTTTTAGGGTTTAGGGTTTTTAGGGTTTTTAGGGTTTAGGGTTTTTAGGGTTTAGGGTTTTTAGGGTTTAGGGTTTAGGGTTTTTAGGGTTTAGGGTTTAGTGCTATGGGTTTAAAAATATCTAGTCTTCGGTTTCAGGATTTGGGGATGGAGGCTGAAACGGCATAGCCCTTTGGGTGAACTGTGGGTTTAGGGATTATGCATATTTGGCTGCTTTGTGTTCAAACTTTCTTGCAGTCACTTCGCCAGAGGCCTCAAAAGGTGGGATGGGGTCGGATTTTTCGCTCATGCAATATTATATTATAGCACATTCCAACACAATGCACTACCTGCCTCAATTCAATTGTATCTGCAGGCGAAAATGGGCAAAGGCCAATACGATTTAAATCCTAAACCCTAAACCCTAAGCCGACGAATCCGAAGCACCAATTGCACCCAGGGCGAGGCCATCTTCTGGCGGCTCGGAATCGGCAGAGCTATACTATTTTGGGGGTTCCTGAGTACTATGATGGTATAATAGGCAGCAAAGCCCTATTCTAATCATTGAGGCCCCTATATTAGGGCCTAGTTCATTTGGGGCCAGCAAAGGGCTTCGGGATGTTTGGGCATTTAGAGGCAGTTTGCTGTAAGGGTTCCAGCATTTTCTGGGTGTCATCTAAGCCGGGTTTTGTAGGCTCTAAAGGATTTATGAGGGCTTTATGTGACATTCTCGTAAAGAAGCCTGAGTTGTTGTTTTTCGTACGATGCTAGTCTTATTCGCGGGTCCACAAGGGCTGCTACAATGGTTGAATGATATGGAGGCCTTAATCGTCGGAGCCTGTCATGATTGAAAAACTGGTTCCGAGGAGCTAAAAATCGCAAAGGTCCTTCACATGTTTCAGGTGTAGATTCTAGAAAATCATGGCCAGAGCTTTATCGTGTGGCGTAATGGTTTTCCGTAATCGCGGGCCAAGGGGCGGCCTGGGTTAGGATGTGATGCCTGCAACCGCTTCATGGTTGACAAGACAGAGGCAGGAAAATCCCCAGACCAAGACAATGCACCACGAAAGCCAAATGCCTGTCAATCCCACAAGTTTGAACTGTTCGGTTGCATTCAGGCCCAGAAAGATGAACATGCAGTCATTGCGTGGTTGCTTCCTGCCGTAGGATGTCCAGCACCGCTGAAAAGCAACCAGAGGTGCGAAAAATGGAAACCTTCTTAGGATTCATGAAGCATCAGACAGAGTTGAAGTAGTCTAAAGTTTCAATCCAGATCGCAATGTCTGAACTTGGCACGATTAAAGCAGTCGCAGATTTCCACTTCCGCTTGGAAAACCACGCCAGCCACCAAAGGAATGAGACCGAGTGGGTCAGGTTGCCAGTGCGGTAATCAACGTAGACACTTGACTTAGTAGCAGAATTATTGCTTAGGGTTCCTTGTTGTGACTGTACCATAATATACACCCTAAGCCATATTCTAGTTGTCAAGGCCCCTGTTTTGCGGCAAGTATGTAGCACTCAATCCATTTACAGGAGCTTCAAGTCCCAAGCCCTTCGCACTTCCTCGCAAGGAGATTCCTCAACCGGAGCCCGCCTATACGCACGCTCCCAGCCAAGGTACTCACCAGAGTTTCCAGCTGCAGCGAATTTCACGCCCCTGACTTACTAGCTGAGTTGGCACACTGTCCTCATTTTCGGATTGCACTGAGTTCTTGGGTGTTTGGGTTTGGTGATGCGGAGGGATCTAGGTTTGAATTGGATTCAGCTCTTCCATACCCGATGGTGTTGGCTCTTAGGACTCTAATTTTTTGGGTTTCTAAATGAACCATAACAAAAAGGCTAAAAGTTTAACTTTTTGGAGGGGCTCAGACGTCAGCCAAGTTTTAAGGCTCCGGATGAGGGGCTCCCATATGAGATCTTGTGGGGATCTTACAAGAATTATGAATGCTAGTGTTGCCATGAGCACAACAGCTCCTTTCGGATAGTGGAGAAGTAAGTGAAACCTATTGCAAAGCCTGGGAAGGTTTTAGGCGTTTGAAATCCTGACACCCTAGGACCCTGAAAAAAGAGTATTAATTGATGAACACATAGGGTCCCTGTATCTTAAAGCCTTTTACCCTGAACCATAAAATTCACCCTACAGGATCCGACATCTTGAACCCAAAAAACTGCAAACGAAGGTTTGTTTCGTGAGCACGAGTGGTCATGTTGGTGACATTTCAAGGTATATAGAGTCTAGGGTTTCGGCGTTTCGACATAAACCCTACGATTAACCCCTTGCTTCTCAGCACACAAGCTTTGAACAGCTAATGTCACCCTTTGAGTCCCATTCTTCCTTCCCTTGTTTTGTCGGTTAAAGGTTTTCTCGGTTCGAGGCTTCGGTCCCGTCGGTTGTGATGAGGGTTTTAGGGGTTACGTTGTTTTGTCAGGGGTGTAAAGCTTCAGAGGTGTTGGGTTTAGTTGTCGGGGCTTTAGGGCTTTAGGTTTTGAGTGCACGGGTGTTGTTTAGAGTAAGTTTAGGAGTTTCGGGTGTGATTTTAGGGCGTAGAGTTTGCGATTGCCGTTTCTGTATGAACCATATTAAGGAGGCCAAAAGCTTAACTTTTTGGAAGGGTTCAGAAGTCAAAAAACGACTTATGTAAAGAAATCATATTAGGGAACCCTAAAAAGGCAAGTCCTTAGGGTCCAGGTACTCTCCAAGCAGATGGCTTCGAAGAAATACCAAGTAAGAACAATCGCCGTTAGCCTTGGCCCCGTAGCCCCGGAACCTCCAGAATCTAAAACCTAGTAATGTAGGAAACCTTGGGCATTTACTAAGGTTCCTTGTATGAATCCTATTATTTTGGGGTTATAGGGCCAGGGTTTTTTATACCCTAAGGGTCCAAAGTACGATTTAGGGAAGTATCCCCCATAACAGTACCTAGGACCCTTCGGGCCAGAATCCTAAAACCTAGTACGTGGTATGTCGTAGATGCTATCCGCGTCATAGATGTTCCATGGGCCGCTCTGCAGAGCTACAAATCCAGTGTCCCCAACGATCGCTGCAGCCAATGGCATGAGCGTCGCATATGAGGACTGACATGCGCAAGCGCCGGGTGATCAAGTCGTGGCTTTCTATGCGTATGGGACGCAGCGTGCCTTCTTCACCACGACACGAGATGGCTTCGCTGCACTCATGGCAATCACGAAGAGTGCAAACGAAAATGGCGGTTCCCTGGTCGTAATCTCGGCAGATGCGTCAGCAGATAACACTGACCCAAAAAACATGGAACATTCCTGAAGATCGTGCTACTCTCGCGAGTCGACACTGAGGGGTGCGTGAGATCTCCATAAGCCCAGAACCGTTCGAGCCGCGCAGAATCTGGAATGCGCAAAGTCGAATCCCGCCCGGCCCTCCGATTCACCTGCGGGGTCGGCCCATCGGATTCCGCAGTCATCGAGCTCGCAGTCGCCAAAGCCCCACACCTGGGCGGGGCTGCGACGCCGTTCCGGAGGACCAGGTATCAGAGGAAGGCAAACCCCGACGGTCACCAGGCGAAGTTCGTGAAGCAAAGGGTTCTTGCTTAATAAAATAGGGATTTGGGGATGCGCCTGCAGACGGAAAAGGCGTTCAAGAAGAAACCTAGAGCCCGTGAGAAGGACCCTAAACCGAAGCCGTCAAAGCCTTGAGGCTCAGAGATGTGGAGGAGTTGGTCAGCCGATCCACGTGGTTTCATGACAACAGCAACCTGGACTCGAAACTGGACTTCGAAGAAGCAGAGTAGATAGGGTTTAGGGTTTAGGGTTTTAGGGTTTAGGGTTTAGGGTTTTAGGGTTTAGGGTTTAGGGTTTAGGGTTTTAGGGTTTAGGGTTTAGGGTTTAGGGTTTAGGATAGCCTTTAACCTTTCTGGGGTACGCTTCGGATACTGGACAACTGAGCTTCTTGTTGGGGAACCTAGTTTAGGTTACTCGTAAATAGTAGGGTTTCCTTGTTATGGTACAGGCTTTCCTTGTTGTGGTAATTTAAACTAAGCTAATGGTACACAATTACGGGTGGGTACTACGTCGTTCGTAGCCCCGAGCCCGCCCCTAAACTCTAAGCCCTGCACCCCTTGCCCTGATCAATCTCCGTAAGCCCTGAACCCCAAACCCGGGCCAATGGCAATCTCAAACGTCGAGTGTTTTTGGGGTTGTCGATCTGTAACTCCTCATAGGCAGGCTCAGCTTCTAGCATGCAAATTCTCGAATTGAGGCTTAAGTGCCCACTTAGGATTAGGGTACGGGATTACATGCGTAACCTGTTTGGGCTTATGTGTATATGAATTGTTTGATATACAGATGTTTAGACATACAGATATACAGAAATATAGATCTATATATATATAGAGAGAGAGAGTGTGTGTGTGTGTGTGTGTCCGCTTACAATCAAGCGGATCAGCTTGTTCAGAAGCTTTAAGATTTGAACCCTGAATTCTGAACCTCAACACCGCAAACCCGCGTGACCCCCGTAGTTCTTAACCACCAAAGCCACCAAACTCCGAGGAACAACCAACTCCTAAGCCGTCAAACCGGCAACCGTGAATGCAAAGGTCTGAAAAGAGACAAGCGCACACACGCACGAGAAAAGATATTGGTTCAGAGCAACACCAAACCGGTAGACAGATAGTACACCTTCCTAACCAGAACTCAACACAAAATCCCTAAACTCCAAATCTTAAACTGCACAAAACTCTAAACCCTAAGTTTAAGAAACCTAAATTCGAAATCCGAAGCCGTAACCTAAACCATAACTGGGCCGGGATCTCACTCTTAAACACTAAAATCCTATGACACAAACACTGAAGTCTGTAAGCCCGCGATCCTTGGTGCCTATACTTTAAAATATAACAACCTTAAACCTAATGCCGAAATACCGAAACCCCGGACCTTAGATTGGTATCTCCTAGGCTATACTCTGCCCTAGACCCTAAACCTGTATCCCTACAACCCACAAACCCGGGGACCTTACCTTAAACCCTAAATTCAGAAGTCCTATAGTCCATAATGCCTTAAACCCAAAAGTCTGTATGTTCTACCCTAGACATCAAGCCCCTAAAATCTTAGACTCAGGCGGCATCTCCTTGGCGATGCAAACGCTGCTGCGCTTCGACCGCTTCGGCGCCCGGTCTCCGCTCCATCGGCTGTGCCCCGGAGAAACCCTAAAATTTGCAGGGAATATCCCTAAGACTCCAAGTATGCAAATACTACCTACTTTGGGATCTAAAGTCTATAAATACTACCTACTTTGGGCTATTTGGAGTCTCAGGGTATAGGGGCCAAAAGAATTACCAATACTGTTCTGGGGGTTCCTTAGAAAAGCTATAGTATCATGGCCCCAACACCCTATTCCACTGTAGTCTAAAGGATTACTCAAAGAATCATGGGACTTAGTAACTATATAGGGTTATAATTAGGGTAACTATAGTTATAACTACTTGCGCCCTAAAGTCTAAAGGACTACTCAAAGGATCATGGGACTTAGTAACTAGGGCTCCTTTAAAGGGTTCTTGAAAAGGGATCCATAAGGGCTCTATGAGAGGGGCTTTAGGGTTCCTTAAAGGGTCATCTGACTCAGTAACTAGGGTTATACTTAGGGTAACTATACTTATCACTACTTATAACCCCAATTAGTGTGCTCATAATCTTACTTACTAAGTCCCATGATCCTCCAATTAGGGGTTTATGGGGCCTGGGGCTTTGGGGTCTAAGGTTTCGTTTTTAGGCTTTCAGTAAAGGGCTTAGGAGGGGTTTAAAGGATTAGAGGTTTAAGGCTTCCCTTTAAGAGGTCAGGGTTCGTTTAAAGGCTTGGCTCCTATTGAGGGTTCCTTTTGAGAGGTCAGGTTTAGGTCCTGGGGGTTGAGGGTTTAGCGCTTAGAGGTTTCAAGTTTCCTTTAATTCCTTGTTGCTGGTTCGTTTAAGGGTTTACAGGCTGAGGGGCTTAAGGGTTCTATTATAAGGGCTCCTTTTAAGAGGTTTAAAGGTTTAGGGCTCAGGAGTTTAGGGCTTGCCAGGGGTATTATCTGAATTAAGGTTGGGGGTTTAAGTGTTCCCGTTTACGGTTTCCGTAAAGGTGCCTTTTCAGAGGTCCAAGGATTTAGGGTCTGGGGGTTTGGGGCTGTGCCCCGGAACACCCAGAATCCTAAGCATGAAGGGGTTCATAGGATGCTGAAGGATTGTCCAAGGTTCTTCCGTGGGTTGTATTCAGGTTTTTGGTGCTTGGATTGTTTCGTTTGGGTCGTTTGGACCATTTTCTGGACTACATGAATGTTTAAGTTTTTTAAGTCCTCGAGAAACAAGGTTGGTGAGCTTTCGGATTCAGAAGCCTTGGTCGGGTAGGGTTTCTTGGGGTTTCTGATTTTGCATTGGGGTTCCTGCGGACCTCCAGCAATTCTGCACCCGAAGACATAGCAAGAAAATGTAATACCGCAAGGAAGTCCCAGCCGTGGAGTTGGACTGTAGACCCACAAATTTGAATTTATGATGCGGCCTTAACCCAAAGCATTATACCTAGAAGCCAAACCCTTAGAGCGGTTTGCCCCAAGACCCCAAATGACTCACCGACCACCACACCCGAAAAGCAGATTTAGACCTGTGAATTAGAGGGTTTGAGGTCTGGGTTCTAGGGTTTGGGATTCATGTTGTTGCTGTGTTGGATCATAGTCTCTCTGGGGATCTCCCCGACATGGATTGGGGTTGATCAGCTTCTAATGCTAAACCCTAAACCCTAAATCCAAGGGGATAGATAGAAGCGTTCTATAGGGGTTTCGGGATGAGGGGTCAGAGGACTTAGTCGGCAAGGTTCCAAGTAAGGTACCTCGAGTTATATGGGTGGCTGTCAAAATTATGGTCCCTCTTTGGGCACCCAAAATATTAGGTGCCGTACTATATAAGGGATCCAAAAAGAGACCATAGTTTTGACAACCACCCATATCTACTTGTAACCCGAATTATAGAGCTCTCAACTTTAGCAGCTGATGCCCCCGAACTACAATCCGGGAGTTTCCCGAAAATAGGGGACCCCAATATAGTACGCTAAAATAGTAGGATCCTCATTATAAGGACCCCTAAATTTTCGGAAACTCCCGTTTGACTTTTATGCGGGTCTTTGGGGTCTACACGGGCCCTCATACGATTGATGACATAATCGCGCATTACTTTGATGACCCTAGACTCTAGGAATTATAGTATATTCCTTATTGTGGGTAATGCAGATTTTTCTCAACCACAGTATCACGCTCGTAAAGCTCTTTCAGAAAAAGACCTTCAAAGGCTGTCTAGACCCTCGAAGACGTCATAATACACTTTACAACCCCAACGCCCACCATCCCCCACATGTGTAGTTCCTAAAAATTTGGGTTCCCTTTTAAGGTAAGGGTGCTGCTGGCTTCTTTGGGGTTCCTAGAAGGGGACCTTATTTAAAGAATTACCGATAATGCGAAAAACATAGCCTGACCATGACCAAGGGTTTACGGCGTAAGCCAAGCGCCCGAAGCCCTTCCTAAACCCTAAAAACTAGATTCGGACATGAGCCACAATCAGGATATGGCTTTGCACGCCGCTGCTTGCCAGACTGGACAAGCCCTCTTCGTTGTTTCACTTTGGCTGCACTTTTGGTTCGGGGTTTAGGGCAATTTAGGGTTTAGGCTAAACTTTCGCAGCACCGGAGGTCTAAAGATAAAGCCGTAGTGAAGCTCAGTAAACCAATCCCTAAACTTCAATCTCTCTTCAGAAGAAACGAGCGCACAGAGGCGGCTTAGAAGCCTTGCGGCATCGGATTTCGGGACTATAGCAAAGTGATTAAACACCCGAATCAGTATTAAAGCTTTCAAGGCAGGTTTTGCTTGCTTTCTGAAACCCCCCGCAGATTCTGAATTTTGCTGTATCCACGGGTTGAGCGATGGAAACGAAGGCTTGGTATGTCTCGAAGTTCTAACTAGTCTCATTAAGTTCATGGTCTTGGCAAAGGTGAGGTCAGCTTTTGGTTCTGATAAGAGGCTTCTTACCAGTAGGGGCCTGTCAGAAGGATGATCGATTCATGTAGTTTCTACACTAAGCGTTGCGTATTTTCTCGATGTGCCCAAGGTTGAAGTTACGTAGGATGTTCAATCGAGTTAGTAATTTAGAGTAGCGTCTATATCATACTATAAGTATAATGAGGAACCCCCAAAACCCCATTCTATCCATTATGGTCCCTACCTTTCTCCATGCAGCTGCTCCAGAATCAAATCCATGGAGCCTGGGGCTTTGGACCTAAGCGTCATTTTGAGGTTCAGCCGACACAAGTTCGGGCTCCAACAGAGAAGCCGAGATAGTTAGCTACTACAAAGGAGCCCAAAACCTAATTCTTGACGGCCCATACATGAAGTCTTCGCCAAGGTTCTGTGTTGCATGGACCGTGGGCTATATCTGGCGAGGCTTGTGTCACATTCTGGGCCTTGGCCCCTTGGGAGCAAGACGTGCGAGGGGAAGCGGTGTTAGCATTCGGCGTTTGGGAGTTAAATGGAACCCCAGAAACTTGGAGCATGGATTCCCTCTACTTGAGGGGTGACAATTATACTATGCCAACTTTCTGTCTTCTCCTGTAAGGGGAGGGTGGGAGGGCGAGAGTTCTTGAGATTCATCATGTTGCTGTATAAGCAGGATCCTGAAATGTCGGGTTCTGTAGTTTGCCAAGAGCTGTAGCTGTCGATGCACCACCATTTCGGGACTTCTAAAGCCCGCTCAAATCCGAAGCCCCCAGCCCATCCAAAAGTCCGCCCAAAGCCCCAGCATAAGCAGAAGCATCCTATCTCGGTCTCTAGAAGTAGTCGCATTAGGGTTTGGGGGGTTTAGAGCTGCAGGTCAGGGTTCTGTGAGATGCATCCACAGGAAGTTTGCAAGAGGTTTATAACGGGCTTTAGAGGTTACTGGAGGTCTCAGGGCCTGGCAGACAACCTAGAGGTTTACATCGGGGTGATTGTCAAAATTATGGTCCCTTTTTGGGTACCCCAAATATTAGGTGCCGTTATTAGGGACCCAAAAAGGGACCATAGTTTTCACAACCACCCATAGATTTTATCCAGACTTTGTGTATGAGTGTCAGGGTAGAACAAAATATGCAGGCCTTGGCCGTGTCAAGACGGTTTTGGGATCCATTATAGCCGAATGATAACTGGGCTCTCGGCGGTCTGCTTGGGACAAATCGCGCTCTCATGAAGTTACCCGCCGCAGCCATGAGACTGCAGTCGAGGCGCCAATGCCCAGAAGGCGTCGACGGCGTTCGTTCAGGGTTTTGTGCTGCGGGTTTAGGGTATAGTGTCCTTTCTCTGGGATTTACCCTGCTACGAATCTTATGGCCACTGCTCTTCAAACCCTGGTTTCTTGTATTTGTGAGGCGCTTGCAGTAGCCTTTGGTAGCACTGCCGTCGCAAGCCTGCACTGAACGGAACACCCCTAGGATCTAGAGTAGGCCCTTATTCCCTTTTTTAGGGTTTAGGTTACCTTATAACCCCCTTTAATCCAAAAAGGGCACCCTTTTTATTCCTAGGTTACTCTTGGGTCTAGACCCTGAGCCATAATCTTTAATACTTTTTTTCTTAAAGGAACCCTTATGAAATAAAAGTTTATACTTTTTTCTCCCTGGTTACTTAAAAGCCCAGAATCTGTAGACCCGCGCAGGTTCCCCTTAAACCCTGAACCCCCCAGAACCTCGAAGCTTTTTCCCCAAGCCCCCAAAATTCTGAACCTTGAACCCTAAGCCCTAAACCCCTTAATCCCCAAACCCCTACACCCTAAACCCCTCAACCCTCAATCCCTAAACCCTAAACCGCTACAACCTAAACCCCTAAATCTGTAAACCCTAAACCGCTGCAACCTAAACCCCTAAACCGTAAATCCCTAAACCTTAAACCGCTACACCCTAAACGCCTAAACCCTAAATCCTTAAACCCTAAACCGCTACACCCTAAACCCCTAAACCCTAAAGCCTTTTATTGTCATTGATGGACCATGGATTCGGATCTGCATCGCTTGTTATAGTATAGCGGGCCCCAACACCCGATTCTCATTATTAAGGCCCCTATGTTAACAGGTTCTAGGATGTCTGAGTAGCTGAGCAGGTAAGCAATCTTAGACCTTTTGGGGTGTTTATGATCCTGCTTTTGAAAAGGTTAACCTTGCCTGGGCTAGGGTACTCAGCCTCTAAGAACGTGTCCTGTAAGATTTTTTTCTTTGGGGGTTCAGGGTTCTATGAGACTTTCATTTGGATTTCGGATTTAGGGGGCTGAGGCACGGTACCACATTTTGTAACATTTCAATGTGAAACCAATTGATTCAGATCCTTTACCGGGACCCAAAGCCCCACCCCCCGCCCCCAAAGAAAAGCATTAAATGAAAGCCTGAGCATGGGCCGCAATAAAATAATGTGCACCAATACCCTTTTCTACTTATCAAGGTGTCTCCATCATAGATCCCTCTCGATCCCCTGAAACCAACACTGTTCTAACTATCATGTTCAAGGCTCCTAGACTAGTAAGAACTGAAGCTTAGAGCCTTAAACTCAGACCGGCCTTGGAAAAAAGGTGCCTAACAACTCAATGCTAGTTTGGGGGCTTCCTTTAATTCGACTATACTCTCATGAACCCCAAATCCCTATTCTAATTGTGAATCCCCCGGAAAGAGGCTGGCAACGGCGACGACGGATCAGATGCATCGTCGAAATCGCGCAAAGCGCGGAAAGGTAGCAAGAAGACCCGGTAATGTAGTTGCCTGACATAGAAGCCCATGGTGCGCGTACATTGCTTGCTGTAGGTTCTGTAGAGTTTTGTGGTAAGGTGCAAAAACCTAATATATCTTGTGTTATGAATTTCATTATATATTACAGGCATTTATCGGGTGCCACGTTAATTACCTTGGACCCTGCTTGGGGTTTGGAGGTCACGTAGGATGTTGCTTGCAGTTTACTCTCCGTTAATTGGTTTCTGGTTTAGTGGTTCATGCCTGTCGTTGTATACTACAAGAAACGACCCAAGACAACCTCTGCTCGCACAGCGCCCGTATGTAACCAGAAGCACTATGACACTTCAATCTTAATGGTTGGCAGATTTCATTGAGCTGTGACGAACAGCAATGCTGACCCTAAACCCCAGACCCCTAGACCTTAAACCCAAATCCAAGACCCTAAATCCTGGAATATGTTTAGTCGACGCGCCTCGTTCGCGATGAATCTCGGGAGAGAAAGCGCGAAGACGGTGGGCTTCTGGCATAAGTTTGGCATAAGGGTTGACGGGACCACTGAAAAGCCAAAGCCGTACTCTGAATAGGCTTCAGGGTTTAGGATTTTAGGGCTCGGTATCCCAACATCTGTAGCCCTGAACCTATCGTGAAGTCCATACTCAGAAAGCCCATGTCCTGGGGATTATTCATCACTATATGCCCGCTTGTGCCTCAGCACATGTGTTGCAGTACCTGGAAACTTGTAAGCTTGCTTGTAACAAGGATATACAGCGGTATAGCTGTAAGGGGTTAGGAGAATAGGGTGTCGGGGATCTATGCTGCAGTATCTTGTGACTGGCTTATGCAAACAGGGTGTTAGCGGTACATTGTAGTATAACTATAACGGGCTAGGAGACTTGAGTAGTTGTGAAATACTACATACTTATACTGGTTGAGGTGTCTCTTCTGTGGTAGTTGCTGTGTAAATGCGTTTTGGTCCTTGGGGGGGCGTGTTTTTGTTCTTTGGCTGTCGGGTTTTGTCAGCGTTTAGGGCTTGGGATTTAGGCTTGAGGTCTGAATGCCAAAACCTGCAGCTTGAAGCGTAGAAGCACCGTTCATATACTGTTCTTATTGTTGTGTTTGAGTCATACGGTACCCAATACTATTATCGCACCGAGGTGTTTTGCAACCGCTATCATGGAAATACTACCAAGTGGATCACAGTGAGCTTCTTATAGGGCTACATCAACGGATTGAAGTTGGCAGCAAAGGAATGTCTCTGACAGCGCAGGTATGTCCACAAGCAGTAGCGAGTTCTTCGAGGAACATTTCAAGAGCAACCCCACTAAGGCAAAAGACTGTCAGCCACTCTCATTCCACAAATCACACCCGCAACATCATAATCCGCTTCTGTCCCTTGAAGTCAACATGCACCCTGCAATCAGACGATAAAATGTACCCCCCCCCCCCCCCCCCCCCAAAGTCCTGTGCTCCTAAACCTAAACTTACAACTACACCGTCACACCGTAATGGACCCCTAAGCTCTCTTCTCTTCTTAACGCAAATCTCTAAACCCCACCCCTAAACAGTCTCTAAACCCTAAATTGTCATTTTTGGGTGTCTATGTGTACTTAAACCCAAGAAGGAATAGAAATTCACATTGCTAATGCATTCCAAGCCATGGACTCGAAACCCTGAACCCACAAACCCCAAACCCCTAAACCCCCCTCTCTTCTCATAGCAAACCCCCAAACCCCTAAACCCTAAACCCTTTCTCCCTTCAATACAGAGCTTGGTTGCTCTTATTATATCTAACCATTGATATTGGGGGAGCTAAGGAGCCAAGGATGCTGATAATCCCGATTAAATAAGGAGCTAAAGAGCCTTGGGAACCCCCAAAACCACTGGTTAGATAACAAGGCTTGAGTTCTCTTCTTAACACAAAGTCTTGTGGGCTTTTGACTCCGCTCTCCCTCTTAGATGGTGAACGGAGGGAACTTTAAGCTTTTTGGCCTTACGAGTATGTATTAGCCCTATCTTCGAAAGTTTGAACTGTTTGGGGCCCGCTTGTTGAAGAAGAGAGCCCTACTTGGAGGATCATGGGACTTAGTAAGTAAGGTTATAAGTACCCTAACTGGGGTTATAAGTAGTTATAAGTATAGTTACCTTATTTATAATCCGAGTTACTCTGTCCCATGATCCTGTAAGTAACCCTAAAACCCTTCTTATAGAGCCCTTATGGATCCCTTTTTAGGAACCCTTTAAGGAGCCCTAGTTACTAAGTCCCATGATCCTGTAAGTAAGCCGGCGCAGGCCCAGCAGACGATCGCCCGACACCCAAGGCCGACCCTGCGACCGCTCGCTAGGGGCGAGTTAGGGTTTAGGGTTTAGGGTTTAGGGTTTAGGGGTTTAGGGTTTAGGGTTTAGGGTTTAGGGTGGCGAGTTTCTACGACGCTCCACCGTGGTTCCTTTTTGGGGCTCTTATGGGTGGTTGTCAAAATTATGGTCCGTTGCTGGGTCCCGATTATAGTACGGCACCTAATATTTAAGGTCCCAAAAAGGGACCCTAATTTTAACAGCCACCCATATGTTGAATCCTATAAGGTAGTACCAAAAAGGAGATACTATGGTTACTTGGAGGTTCATGGCTAGTTGTAAGTGGGGATATAAGTCCCTAATATGGGTTATAACCCCACTTATAGCCCCATTTACAATTACCCATGAACCCCCAAGTAGGGTTCATGGGGTTTTGGGGTTTCGTTTTAGGATATATAACGGTTTAGGATGCATACGGGTTCATAGGGTTCCGAGGGTTTTGAGTTTCGAATTTGGAACTTAGCGTTCAGGGTTTTAGGTTGTAGTTCCTCTTCGTAGCTGAGTAGGTAACCTTTAACCTTTTGGGGTTTGTACCAAAATTGAAAAGGGTATCCTTTTTTCGGCTAGGGTCCTCAGCCCCTAAGTAGTTTGCCCACATCAGAATCGCCCATATGTCTACAGGAGTTCTAACCCTCTACTTTAAACCCTACTAAACACTAAACCCTAAAACCCTAGACCCTAAGCCCAAGATGGGGGTTTCCGAAAATGGGGGACCCCAATATAGTACCCTAAATAGTAGGATCCTCATTATAAGAATCCCAAAATAAGGTAGCCTAGTTTCGGAAACTCCCATTTTTGAAACCACCGAAAGGCCACCAAAAAGGTTAGCCTGTAGTTCCCCATGATACCCGACAAGTAGGATCGTGAGCGTGAGAACCCCCAAGCAGATCCCAGAGAGCCCAATACCCCTTAATTAAGAAATATAGCTTAAATCATAATATGAAGCCCCTGATGAGTTAAGGTATATTCCTTACCCCCTGAACCCTAAACCCTAAACTTTATAGGTCTCTTAAAGGAGCCCTAGGCCCTAGGTATTCCTTACTTAAGGGGTCTATTCCTTAATTAAGGGGTATTGGGCTCTCTGGGATGCTCCTCAACCCTGAATACTAGGATCCTTATTATAAGGACTTCAAAACGAGGTACCCCTAACTTGGGAAATCCCCATATATCGTGAGCGCGAGAACCCCCAAGCGGATGCTCCTCAAAACCTAAACCCTAAACCCTAAACTCAAAGCTTAAGCCTGAATGCTCAGCTTAAGCCTTATTACGCACAGGAGCGTACTACACCTTGTTCGGGAAGAAAACGAAAGACATTCTAGTCTTCACGAGGTAAATGGTAATTATAGACATAATTACTTCCATTTACTAGTAAGCTCAGTAACTGAGTACAAGTATTCCGTAATCTTATGAATAAGATTATATCCCTAAACCGGTGTTTCTAACCATCGGATCCCTCGAGTGCTCGTGTGTGCCCAAGCCGGTCGGGGCCACATTCTGCAGCAAAACAGGGCCGATCTTTTCGTGTGCTGCCACTAAACCATCCGGTGTCCATGTGGGCCCAAAACGGTCAAGGCCACATTCTGCAGCAAAACAGGGCAGTTCTTTTCGTGTGCTGCCACTAAACAGCAAAACACGGTCGTTCTTTTCATGCGGCTGCTCTTGGCCACCTACCTCATCCCTAAACCGGTTTTCTAAATGTAAGTCGCGGCTTTCCCTCTTGTGGCTCCACTAAACTCTTCTTTATATAAAATGTGCATTTTAATGAGGGCCAGGTGCCCAAGTCGAGGTCCCCTCTTTCTTTTCGTGTGGCTCCACTAAACTCTGCCCTGTGGCTCCTCGGTCCAGGGCTCGGAACCGTCCCTGAGCTTAGGATCGAAAAATGGACCCTCGAGTGCTCGTGTGTGCCCAAAGGGGTCGGGGCCGCACTCTGCAGCAAAACAGGGCCGTTCTTTTCGTGTGCTGCCACTAAACCATCCGGTGTCCATGTTGGCTCAAAACGGTCAAGGCCACATTCTGCAGCAAAACAGGGCCGTTCTTTTCGTGTGCTGCCACTAAACTCTTCCTTGCCCTCCAAAAATCTGGAAAATCGCTGCTGGTTTTGCCTTGTTAAATTCTTTATATAAAATGTGCATTTTAATGAGGGCCAGGTGCCCAAGTCGAGGTCCCCCTCTTTCTTTTCGTGTGGCTCCACTAAACTCTGCCCTGGGGCTCCTCGGTCGAGGGCTCGGAACCGTCCCTGAGCTCAGAATCGAAAAATGGACCCTCGAGTGCTCGTGTGTGCCCAAAGGGGTCGGGGCCACATTCTGCAGCAAAACAGGGCCGTTCTTTTCGTGTGCTGCCACTAAACCATCCGGTGTCCATGTGGGCCCAAAACGGTCAAGGCCACATTCTGCAGCAAAACAGGGCCGTTCTTTTCGTGTGCTGCCACTAAACCACACCTCGGTCTAGGGCTCAGGGGGCTCCCGGTGTCTAGGATCAAAAAATGGACCCTCGAGTGCTCGTGTGTGCCCAAGCTGGTCGGGGCCACATTCTGCAGCAAAACAGGGCCGTTCTTTTCGTGTGCTGCCACTAAACCATCCGGTGTCCATGTGGGCCCAAAACGGTCAAGGCCACATTCTGCAGCAAAACAGGGCCGTTCTTTTCGTGTGCTGCCACTAAACCACCCCTCG